GCACATTAAATAGAAGCTTGAAAGTCCCTGAAATCCTTACAGTAATTTTCAGCCTGCTTAACAATGATCTACTTGACAGTGAATGCTGCTGCAAAATATCCTTTTTAAAAAAAAAATCCTGACCTCAGAGACTATTCTATTAGATGCTTTGATTTGACAGAGCGTTTTGCTACTCAGGTTATTAGGGAGGTTTTGTGGCTTATTTTCATGTCATTTCAAGCTGCCTGATGCTGAAGCTATAAGGAGTTCTTTGTTCTGGCCATTTATCCCACTATATTGCTGTTTTTTTTAATAGAAATTGCTCCTGCAAACTGTAGTCCCAGAATGATGCTTTGGGCACTAGAAAGTTGTAAGTATGAGGGCAGCAATAAGGTTTCTAGAGAATGTGTGGTGTTCATTAGCGTGTCGTATGTCAGAGAGGTGAAGTCGGTATGTTTAGTTGCAGTACCATTCATCATTTGTGTGCAACCTTCTTTTTGTGCAAAACCATATCATCAGTAATTACACAAGAGTGTTTATTTGTAAAATAATATGATCCTTTTACATAATATGCTATGGATAAGGCACAAGGAAAGCTTTCTTAGGTTCCTGGTTGCATGGAATCCAGCATGCTTTGTTGTCCTGTTTTGAATTGACTTTACTTTGCTCTACATGATGGTGGTGACTGTTTTTTAGGATAGCCTGTAAATATTCAAAACTTACTGTCTACTTGTGGATAATGCTTGGGTTTTACTCTTGTGAGGCAACTGCCTTGAAATGAAATGCTTTCTTTCTAGCTGAAGTTTCTGATGTCATGTTATCTGGGGAATCAAGTGCAGACCTTATTGAGATATCAGGAATGCTCTTTCAAAATTAGTAACACTGAATTTGGGAAATCTGCTTCTTAATATCCATTCAGCATATGGCAAGAAAGCTCTGTTGTTTTTTTTTTTCCATTGTATTTTTTTTTTTTTTTAGTTTCAAAACTTAGAAGAATCGCATTCTTCAGTGTGCCCAAAATAGAGCTATTCTGAAAAAGAAAGTGGAATTGAAGCAGATTCAAAATTTGTATGTGATGACAAATTTGTACGTGAGGCTTTTTGCTCCTTAAGCACTTTTTAGTGCGCTTAAAATTAGGGTAAGATGTTATGAAAAGTCTCTGTGGATTTGTTTCTTGTTTTCTGGTTTGAGAGGTGCTAATGTGTCCCGGTTATGAAAAAACTTTCATATCACGTTGGTTTTTTTGTTGTTTTTTTAAAGTTTCCCACTTCACAGATGGTTATTTGAGGCACTGAGAATTTCAGTTCCTAGGAAATACACAGCAGGTTTGTCTTGAATTATGTGCCTCATCTTATGTCATTGCAGCTCATCCTCTCCAGTTCAGCCAAAATACGTCTTTGGAGTGGAAGTGATGGGATGAGCTACTCTGAGTTAAATAGGGAATGTGGGAATGATGCTGCTGTGTAGTTAACATTTTTGAAACTTCCAAATTATGTAAAGTTTAGGCACGAATAGCCTGCTGTAAGTGACTGAATGCATGAAGGCTGAACTGAGGAGGATATCCTAAGCTGATTGGACTGTGTAAAAGATAAGTGTAATTAAAAAAAATAAAGCTAAGGAGGTCTTTTGCCATGTTATGCTTTTGTTGAAACAGCAACCAAAACAAACAAGAAACAAAAAAGACTTTGCTTAGAAGTTTACAAGTGGATTGTATAAAGTACAGTTGAGATGTTTTCATGCAGCCACCTGTGCTTACCTCAGCTAGAATGGATGGGATGCCTGGGAAATAGAGAGAATAGTAATCTTTCTTTCAAAACTGAGGAATGGTGTGCGTTGTGCCTCAGATATGTACAGAAACAGGTTCCTCTGGAACCCATAACAAAGAAAATGAAGTTATTTCCCATGGCAGTAGTAAGAGTTGATCTACGTTTTGCCGGGAACTTTTTACATAACTCTGTTCCCTTTTTCCAGAGATAACAAAATGTCACAACTTAGGCAAAATGCTTTTCTGTATTCGAATGGAATTTTGTGAAACTGTTTTTTTTTGTGCGTGTGTGTAATAAAACCACAAAACACTGACGTGGATGTGGTAGAAGAGAGAGAAGGAAACCAGACAACAGCTGCTGCTGAGTTATGATGCGAGATGTTTTAAACTCCTTACCATTCCACTCCTAGAAAAGTGACCTCAGAAATCTTCTCTTCCTTGTTTAATCACAGAACACTTGTCCAAAGTGGAAATAAGATCGTTCCTGATATGCAGTTTATCCTTATCAAAAACCTTACCAAATGTACAAAGATGTGAATCATCATTATTCCAAACAACTGATTTGGGGGGAATCTGAAGTGATGAGGAGAATGAGGAGCTTGGTGGAAAAGGTCTGTGTGGAGTGGGAAATTTTGCTGTTTGTTTTCTATGTTAATGTTTTAGAAATAGGGTTCTGCAGTCACAGTCCATGAGAACACATACTGCATTCAATTTGTTACTCTACTGACTGTAAATATCTCAGAGGGCAGGAGAAAATGTTCCTTAATAGTGGGTTTCAGGAAATCAGGAGTTCTGGATGTAATGATGGCTGCTTACTGTGCTGATTTCTGTACGTGTGCTTGAGGTCACTGCAGGATCTAAATAAGCCAGTGGATTGCAGTCTGAAAAAAGACTCATACAGAAATTACAGTAATAATTTTAATATGCAGGTCTTAAGGCTACAGCAAAGGTCAGTTGTGTTATTTGATAACGTTACTAAGTGTCCAAAGGGTAATCTTTGCTCCAGAGTTTGGGAGCACTGGCCCTCCTTTAATTATCCGTGGAGTAACTGTAGTCCTTAAAAATCAGTCACTGATTTGCGTAAGTTTCTTCGTAGTGCACTAAGCCCTGCCAGCTGCTGGTTTTGCTTGCACTGCTGCCTGTCCTTCTGTTTGCTGTCATGGTAATGATTTCATTCTTGGAAGTGTTTTTTTTTATGTTGCTGCTGTTCAGAGCTGTACGGCTGTTGTCGTGCTCTTGCTTTTAAAGCTTTGATTAACAGAGTTCAAACTCACCACTACCTTACTGGTATTAAAAAATATATCAATACTATGGAAAATTTAGTATCAGTTAGCGAGTCTGGTGCTTGCCAACCAAAAGCATAATTGTATGTACAAGTGTCTTATAGATGGTACTAAAGAGGGAATGATTGTGATTTTCCTGTATAAGAATGCAGTAGGTACAAGTGAAGCTGGAGTGAAAAGGCACAGAACTTGGACAGGGACATGGGCTGGAATTTTATTTCATCTGGCTTTATTATATGGCTTGGAACCAGACACTTATAACTGTAATTAGATGGCACTAGGGTGCTTATTCAGTATATGGCATGGAAGATATGCTTGTAAAGAGACAGAGGCCTTTCAAAGGGAGTGTTTGTCACCCTTCACTTAAATACCTGCTCTAAAGTCTAATTTTACCAGTATATCTTGTCTGGCAACCAGTATCAGCTTTAAATTCACTTAAATGTGAATGTATTAACTGGCCTGGTTTGAAAGAATACTGTTTGCAGTGCTTCATCTACTTCCTGCAAAGCAGATCGCTGAGGAACATGCAATTTTAAATAGTTCTATTGTTTTTCAAGTTTCTGGATGATAGGAGGATGCTGACCAGTCTAGCAAAAAACAAATCTGGGAGTTGCTTCCTCCTTGTGAGAGTGCAAAATGCATTTCATAACCACATGTGGCCCAGTATGAAGCTGAAGACTGTCCCCTTTGTAGGAGTCTGCACGTGCTCTAATGGAATAGCATTTGGCCCAAGTCCTGCTGAAGCCGAACACTACGCTAAGGCTGTTCACATCTCCATTTCTTCATCTTCTTGTTGGTGGCTTGTAAACGGAGGTAGAAGGCAGGGCAGGGTGGGAATGTTATCCTATATGAGACTTCCTTGATCTTTTGCCATTGGTTTATGTCATCATGACCAACTAAGTATTTTATTTCAGCTATTTATCTGTGCAGTCTCTTTATAGTACGCGAGTGCCTTACATGCAAATTGAGTTTCTCCTGAAGGTCTTTTGAGACTGTGAGTTTGACCATGAAGTTGGTTGATCACTGAGGAGTTTGAGCAGATTGGACAGCTCTGTCTTGCTTCTTGCTGGCTGGTCCTGGAGTGAAATGCAAGAGTATTTGAGTGCCTATAGCTTCTGGAATCAAAGTGGGAGTGTGTGAAAAATGGTTATTCTAGTGGCTGTAGTGTTGTTTATTTTTTTATTTTTTTTTTTTTTTTCCAGTAGTGTTAAAATTTAAACAGAATATTATTGTCTAGTCCATTTATGAATGCTCATTTGTGTTCCTAGCTGATGGTGAGCAGAAACTCTGGCAAGTTCCTTCTAGAACAAGAGAAATATCAGTGATAATTACTGGGTGGTTCTTCTCAAGATCTGCTACTGTAGGGGAAGAAGGGAGGAGAGAAGGCCTTCTCTAGCAGCCCCATGATTCACAGTTGCAAGAATAGCATAGCTTTTAGTTCAAAGAATTATTTGCTATATGTCTGAACATATCATATTTCTAGTTTTGATAAGCTTCAGATTTGGTTGTATTTCACTTCTCTAGCTGCTGAGTTTATGGTGGTTTTAATTGGGAAAAGCAAATTCCAGAAATACTGTGTTGCAGTTAGTGCTATCTGAGCATTTGGCTGCAGGAGGGGATGAGGTCATCGTGCTCCCCCAGTGGGAAACTGGTTGCTGATGGAAACTCTGCTTGTTTTTTTTTGTTGTTGTTGTTTGGGTTTTTTTTGGTTATAAATTGAGATTATAGACAATACTTAACATTTTCAGAGTTTGATGCTGTTCAAATGCTGACCCTCCTGATTTTATGATGGCATATTGTTTCATAACGTAAGCTGTTCCTCGGTCTACTATATTCTAATGCATCTGCAGTTTGCTTAAATGAAGTAATGCTTAATAGTATTAAATATGCTGTAAAGTTCCATTTTATGACCACTGTCTTAGGTCCTGGCTTACATTCAAGTTGATCTATTCTTCTGGTGGTGTTGTTTTCAGGCTGATTAGAGGAGTGAGCGGGCGGTACCAGACTCGATGAGTTTCCATCGACATGTCGGAAAAGTCAGGCCAGAGTACAAAAGCAAAGGATGGAAAAACCAAGTATGCAACGCTCAGTCTCTTTAATACTTACAAGGGAAAGTCACTGGAAACTCAGAAAACCACAGGTAAATTAAACTGATTTCGTTTATGTGTTTCTTTTCATCTTCACTGTTGTACAGCTAATGAGGAGGGCAGTACAATCGTTAACCACAGCAAGGCTTTTAAGCTGCTTTATATAACAGCTAACTGGAAGGATTGTGGAAAAACAGTTTTGATTCCACTTGCTGGTTACCTGTAAACTTCAAGTTCAGGGAGAAACAGCATGCAAGTAAATAACAGTTTTATGGCTGCAGTTTCCATCTGTTATCAGTGTATGACGCACCATCCCCCAGCTGTGCTTTTTGGTGTATTTCTGAAGAAAACAGCACTTATGTCACTTGAGTATATTTTGAGATCTTTAGTGTATACATTGGCTCCTTAAGTGTACTGTAATGTGATGTTCAGAGGTTGAAAATGAAATGCTTGTGATTATAGAACATACTTAGCAGAGAATCTTGTTCATCTGAACTTATAAATTGGTGGTTGAATGTCCAGTGCCGTGTGTTGGCTTCATACTGCTTTCGTAATTGTGATCTGGAGTAAACAAACTGTGTAGGAATGCTTTTGTATGAGCAGCATCTGCCAACTGGGACTGGCAGAAAAAATGAGATGATCTTGTGTGGGTATTGCTGGACCCATTAAAGCATGATAAACTTCTGAGAAGAGCAAGAAAATAATGGTTGACAACAATGTCCTAAAAGTAGCAAGGCGTCAATGTCATACCTAAAATGTCTTCTCCAACGTTCTGTGAGAGAACATTGAGCACAATGGCAGAGTGAACAGACGTGCTTTTTTGCTTCTGGAATAAGTTAACCATAGTGACTCAGTATTCAAAGCACTCAAGTTCTCCCGAATCAAGTATTTATAATTCAGTTTTTTTCATTGTTTAATTAAAAGAAAAGGGAAATTCTAGTTCTTATATTCTTAGATTTTCTTTTTTTTAACAAGCATTTTCACTGATTTGTGCAGCTTTGCAGGAACTCTGCCTGCTAATCAGCACTGCTAACTTACACTTTCTGTTCTGGCATGCAGTTGCCACACGCCATGGATTACAAAGTCTTGGAAAAGTTGCTATTTCAAGGAGGATGCCTCCCCCAGCTAACCTCCCTAGTCTCAAAGCAGAAAACAAAGGCAACGATCCCAATGTGAACATAGTGCCTAAGGACGGCACAGGATGGGCTTCAAAACAAGAACAGCACGAAGAAGAGAAGTAAGTGACCAATGAAATCAGGGTTGTTTGGCTGTAACATTTCTCTCAAGTTTTCCAAAACTTGCAGAGGATAGGAAGTGGGAAGGAACTGGTTAGGCTTAGAAGTCTTCAAGAGAGGTACTAGAGGGGAAATAGCACCTCAAAAATTAACATTATTAATTTTTGTAAGGAATAATCTTGCTGTTGGGGGAATGGGAGAGAAAGAACAGCAAGAAAAAGAAAATAAAACAACAAAAATGCCACTTAGGTTGAAGGCAGTATGTTTATAAATCTGATGTAAGAGGGCACCTGATATGGCTACCTTTTCTTTAAGTCTTGGTGGCTCCTTACATGAAATCCTGTGGTATGTTCTTGTAAAAATTGGTGTAATCACTTTAAAATCCTTACGAAGCTAAGAGAAATCCTTGAGAGCATGGCAGCTAAGTTTAATTTTAACCTGACAATTTGTGTGTATGCAAAAAACCTGTTTGATTTTAGTGTGGTTTTCCAGATGTATGTCGGGAAAAGCTTAAAAACTCTTAATTTTGTATATATTAGTTTGAATCTTCTACTTTTCCTATCTGTTCAAACTACGTGCACTTCAGTTGGTTTGATTAGTATGCCGTAAATTCCAGAGGCTTCTCATGGAAGTTTTCTGCTACAGACTTCACAATATTGTTTCATGCTGCCCAGATATGTGATACAAACAAAACAGGCGTGGGAATAGTGCTGGCTCACTGCTGCATATTGCATGCAGTTTAATTGCCTGTTCTCAGTACAAGTCATCAGCTGAGTTTGTTTCATACTTGTGAGGGACATCTGACAGCAACCTCTGAAGAAAATAGACTTAAGTGTTGTTCCAATAATACAATTAGAAAAAGTTTTAAAGCAAAATTTATTGTCATGAAAGCTTAAAATAGGATGTGCTTCACACCACAGAAGTGGAAGTGGCTTTTAAGTGTTTATTCTTTGACGTATGATTTGTTCTGGAAAAGATTTGAAATAGAGGCACTAATTTAAAGATGCAGGAAGAAGTATCAGCAGTCTCTTTGCTGGATATCGATCCATTTGCTTGGTAGAAATGCAGTTAACTGTGGTTGTGGTGAGTTAAAGGCTGCAGCTGATGCCTTCATGACTTGATGGGGCTTTGCTGCTTCTTGTGGTGATGCTGTGTTGTTAGTGTGTTTTTCTCCTGTGCAAGCAAGAGATGACTGAAGATTTTCTTCCCCTTTGTGCTGTTACTTTATTTTGTCCCATATACTTCCCTACATCTAGATGTCAATTTTAACATCTCTGTGAAAAACTTGGACTTCAAGGGTTCACTTTAATGTTTAGCTTTTATCTTAGGTTAGTGAAACTGCAAATCTACAATATTCTGCCCAGTGTTTTGTATGGTAGTTCCTGTGCCCCAGAGGTCATTTCCATTTGATCTAGTTAAATTGGGTGTTGAGCTCAGTGGCTTTAATAAAAACACACTTCCATCTGCACCATTCCATTGCCTGCTACATCTGCTAGAAGTATGTTCCAGTAGTTGATTGTGTTTCTAACTAAATAGCTGTCCCTCATCTTCAACTGCTATAATTCCCCAATTTTCAATGTTTTTATAAATGTTTAAATGTTTACTTCAAGTATAAATCCTTTTTTTTTTTTTTTTTTTTTTTTTTTTCTCCTATTGTATCACTGCTTTGGAGTTCACAGGAATTGCTTCCTGTGTTTACTTCATTGCTATTCCAAATTGTCACTGGATGGCCAGTTAGGCAAGTGACAGTAGTTGCATTTGCCTGTTCAGTATAGAAGTCTATGTCAGTCAGTGTATGCTTCTGCAAGTACAATGAAATACATTTATTTTTTTTAATGATAGAATGCCCCAAGTTGTTTTGTCCTTCCTGATGTTGGCATCTGCCATTCTGTCCTTATCTAGCACATATTCCTGCTAGCAGTGGCACTGTATAGTGCTTTGGGCTGACCACTGCATGATTACTCAGATTATTTGAAGCATTTACACTTGTTTTTTGAAACGTTATGCAGTGCAATTTAGCTGCTGTTTAAGAGGCTAAGTGTGTAACGTTTGTAGAGAGAACTACAGAATCTGTTGTTTTCAGAGAAGGCTGTTTGTGGATGGCAGGTTGCTGTTATCCTTTATAGGAAGCAAAATAATCCTCAAGGTCTGTGGTGCAAACTTAAAAATAAATAAATAAAAATTCCAGCCTGTTTTTCACTGGTTCTCTTCACTGGGTTAATAAAGTGGTTCCAGACTGTTAGACTTCCCCTCTGGAGGAAAAAAAAAAAAAAAAGATGCTAGGGAGCTGGAGGTCTTGCAGACTCTGATGCTTTGGAGTCTTCAGTTATGTATATATGCAGGTTTCAGAAATGTCTAGATTAAAAATATCTTCCCTTAGAATGCAGTCACTTTTTAGATTGGACGGAATGACAGAATTATTTTAAATGTCTCAGACTGTGTTTGATCTTCATAAAGGTAAATTTCCCCATTCTGATTCCTGGTGCCCATAAATTTTTTCATGGTTTCTCAGGCCTTATCAGTTCCTGTATGTAGTAATTTCTGACATACGTACTTGTCTTTCCCCCCATTCATGGTGATCTTAAAGTGCTTTTTATACCCAGCCCAGGAGCATTACTCGGAATTATTCCCTTCCATGGTTGTAAATTGGTTTCAGATGGTCTGATAAGCTGCTTAGAAAGTTATAATTCTATTCACGATTGACTGCATTTTCTGCCCCTTCGTTTTCATTCATTCCTCTCCACTTTGAGAAATCTTTCGAAAGAATTAGCTAATTTATTCCAATTTTAACGTTACTGTAACAGCTCCTTTTATGTAAGAAAATGCTTTTTTTTTGCAGAGGAGTTATTGGCTCTTTAGCTGCATAGTTATCTCCTCTCATTCACTTGTTTGCAGTAGTAATCCTGACAGTCTTGCATTCATGAGTGCTTTCCCTCTAACTCCAGACAGCCAGAGGTGCCGCAGACGCAGCCAAAACCTGCTGTTCCTGCTCCTCCAGAAGCAGCTCCTGTTGCCAAATCGTGGGCCAACACCAAGCCAGGTGGGCAAGATGGTAAGTGATTTTAAAGGTGCAGAGGTTTTTGACCAGCCTAGCGGGCTGGGAATGCTGCTTCTCACAGCATTCAGACCCAGCAGCCTTTTGAGTCCTGAGCGGGACAGCGGGGACTAAGAATGCTGTGGAAGCAGCTTTTGTAGCCTGTAAGAGTGGTAGTCCTGTCTGACTGCCTTTTGAAGGACCTGCATAGCCTTTCTTTTTTTTTTTTCTTTTTTTTTAATTGCCACAGAAATAATGATCAGAGCATAAGGTCTTGAACGTGGCTGTTCTAGAGAGAGGAAAATCTCAGCCACTTACTGTAACAGCTACAATTTTTTGTGTAAGAACCATAAACAGTTAGTGGTCAATTTGGTCCTGAGTTGGGATCATTTTATGCAGAGTGCGTGTGGTCTCATTTCTGTTTCAATGTGTCATTTCTGTTTCAATGTGTCAATTACCACAATACTTTCCCCTTTATTTTATAGATGATTTTGTTTTCAAAATGGTAATGTTCAAGTAAGTTTTGGGTTTTTTTGCTCAGGAGAAGCATTGAGGGTGTATTTGGTTGTTTGTTTTACATAATTGTTCTCAGTCCTTACACACAATTTCCATTGTGGATCTCAGGTTGAGTGTTTTCATGACAGGTGTGAGATCAAATTGAATCTTCAGCAGAGCTTAAAAATTGTTTGCAGAGTTAGAGATTACTTAAAATTTCCATGTTGCCATTATGGAAAATAGCATATGATGTGTTTTATTCCTTAAATTGAAGACTTGCAAGCTTTCTGTGACTGAAAAAAGAGAATTTTGGCTTCGTTGCTGGAAAAAGTCAGCTCTCTGCAGATATCTCAGAATAGTAAAATGGAAATTATATGGAGGTAGCTTATAAGACTGTATTTGGAGTTTGTTAACATCACATATCTAATGACTTTGCCATTTCTTGCTGCAAGTGTTAGAAATGGCAATTCTATATCCTACATTTCTTGCTCTTCTGTGTAGTGCTCAGTGCTTCCTTCATTCTCAGATATAGAAACTCTTTTCCATAAAGCTCTTGCAGGAGTGTTGTATAATAAGAGATTTTTTTTTTTTTTTTTAAAAAAAAAGGAATTAACACTGGAATGCAGATCATTTTGCATCAACCTTTCTGCATAAGCTGATTAGATCATCTCTGATGTGACACAGGATGATTCAGCTCAATGGTTTCAGAATGCATTTAGCTAATTATTTTATGGTTACCATGGCAGCTTGTGTGCCAAACCCAGATGGCATCCTCATTTCATTCAATTAATGCAGTAGTGGGTTTGCTGTTTCCAGAAGAAATACAGAATGTGAACCGGCTTCAGCTGCTTGCTATCATCCTTAGTTTGAAGCTTGGGATACACCTGTTGTGTTCATACTTTCCCGATCTGCAGTTGGCTGGTGGAACTTGTACTTCTTCCAGATGCCCTGTATATGTTCCAGCAGTCATTCAGCCAGCTGCCTCTTGCTCCTTGAATAAGACGTCAGCTGAGTGAGGAGAAACTAAGTCCTGTCCTGATGCTATTGATAACCATGCAGGGAAAAAAAAAACAACTGCCAAACCTGATGGGGAATGTGTATTTCTTTGGCTCACCCATTGGTTAGGAGTTGGGAGTTAATAACCACCATATTACATTTGAAATCTTCAGCAACTGAAGATGGGTCTGTTTCAGGCTGATAGCTTAGGTGCTGTTAAGCTGATAATTGAGGATACTATTGTTCTGCAACTGAAACATTGTTGCTGCGTAAGCTTGAGCAGAGAACATGTTTCAAGATTCATGAAACTTTTACCTCCTTCCGGGTCTCCAAAATGGTTCTCTGGCCTGGCAGGCCATTTGCTTAGTGTGGCTGTGGTTTTCAGTCGCCTTAAACTGCTGGATGTGGCTGCTTGTGAGCATGAAATATCTAATGCCCAGTAACAAAAAACAAATTAACATGACCTGTAGTAGGTGAAGTTGGAAGATTGAAAGCTTTTAAGCTGATCTGTGGGCACAGAGGTAATTGTTGTGGTGTTTGTTGTCATCAAGTTACAAAGAAAGTGAAAAGAGAGGAGTTTATCCTGTGCTTAACATTTAACCCTTAAAAAAGAAAAAAGCAAAACAAGATCCCTGTCTTTCATGCTGTATTCTTACTGCTATGATCCATGGCTCTTTCATGGATCAGAGATGATAGAAGTTTTTAGCTTGCTGGCTTAAAAAAACAGAAAGTATGTAATTGAGGCTGGGGTTTTTTTGAACTGCTTTTTTTTGTTTTGTTTACCTTGTAGTCCATGTAGCCATTCAGCAGCTTTACTAATAAATATAAACATTTTATGAGGTTTGCTCTTGGTTTGCAAATTCTATTGCCATTAAATTAATGACTTTATGCTTCATTTTTAAGGATGATCAGGCTTATAGGAGCACTTTCTGAACTGCTTTGATTACAGAAGATTTATGACTGTGAATATCTTATTTTGTAGGTCCAGCTCTTCCAATAAATAGTTATTTCCAGCAAGAGTTTCCCAGTCTGCCGGCAGCTGGGGATCAAGAAAAGTCAGGCAAAGAGAAAGATGCATCTGAAGACGGCCATGGACCCAGCTTGAGGCCACAAAGTAAGTATATGGTAGAACTTTTAGTGAAATTGCACGAAGTTGTGTGGAATGCATATTTGCTCCCATACAAAATAGGTGTATTAATACTACTTTAAGGATTCACTTCTGCAATAAATAAACACCTACAAACAGTCGTCCTACCTGAAAATCTTGTAACTTCTTCTCTGTTATATGGTTTTGTTGTGTAAGAATTTGTTATAAAGATTTTTGTGTTTGGTTCCTTTTCTGCTATATTTGTTCCTGGTGTGGAAAACAGGTATTTAATTGTATCCTACAGCTCACTTCATATTTGCTCAGGCTGGTGCTCTGAGGAGCGTTTGTTGCACATTATTGGTGTTTTCTTCCACCTGCTAGATGCCATGACAACTAGAATGTATATTCAAGAACTATCCTTATAACCGATGAAATACAACCCTCATCATTTCTATTCCATCCTTTATCAGAGATGCAAGCCAGTATCTGAATACTTCTTTACTTTGGAATGTAACACACAGATATGTCGTTATGAGCTGCTTGAGAAGTCTGTGATACTGCTCGTAGAAAGAAGTTTGATCTTTCCATTGGCAGCATCTGTGTGTCAAATCAGCAGTAGCTCACTTAAAGCTGTTTTCTATCTTGTACTGTGATCAGCATCTTTCCTGAATAGCATGGTGTTTTAGAAGGTAGAGAAAAGCAGCTAGAGCTGTCTATAAATTTAACTCTTACCCTTTGGGATCACAGCTGGATGTAGAGCTGAAGAGGATTAGAAAACAACCTCTATTTTCTTAGTAGCGAATGTCCATCTGCACAGATAGCTGTGTCACTGGAAACCTCCTAGGAAGATCTAGTGCGATCTTCTTTTCTTCTACTGGCTCTGCCTGTGTAGATGCTGCTAGTTGGAGAGAAAATAGTAGTAACAATTCACCCAATTCTCCAACAGATCAAGAAGCTAAGGCTCTTGGACAGGAAGATGGCAATGCTACTCCAGCAGAACAAAGTGATGGCCAGAAGGCAGCAGAGAAGAGGGATGCACGCTTACCACAGATCCCACAGCCCAAGATGAATGGCCAGCAGCAGCCGCCCATCTCGTCTCAGTACAGGGCAATGATGCCGCCTTACGTGAGTAGTGGTTACACAGAGTTGTAAGCAGCAGGGATTGGTTATTGGCTACTGTGATTCCCTTATGCCTTTTTTATCCTCCCTCCATGGAATGCTTAGTAGTTTAGTAAGAAGCGTAGGATCACAACAAGCTCCTCAAAGGATGTGGCTCCATGTTGTCACTCCTGTGCTAAGTTTCAGTGTGTCACATGTTGCTGAGTACAGAGGTGATCGTTCCACCTTTGTGGCCTGATGGTCACACAGACCATCATTAGAGCAGACTGTTTTGAGTAAAGAGCCTTGCTTTAATTCCATTATGATTCCACTGTTCTGAGTATGTCTGATATAGTGATATTTTTAACAAATGGCTTCTGTTTTAAACTTTCCTTAGATGTTTAATCAGTATCCTAGAATGGCATATCCTCCTTCCATACAAGGCCCAACAAGGTTTCCGACTTCTGAGCCTAGTAGGTAAGATACAGGTGTTCTTGTTCTGTGATTATGAACTCTGCATCCGCCTGTAAAGGGGAAAAATTAAAAAGAAAAAAAGAACATTGCACTGATTGTCTTGATTACAACCATGTGCTGTCACTGGTTAGTCTTATAACTTCGGCTTGTGTGGAGTAGTTATATAGTGGCTGTACAGTGTTTGACATCTCAGCTGCAAAACTAGGAGAATCTTGCATGTTATGGGGCTTTTTAATGGGAAAAGCAGGAGAAAGGGACACCTGTATAATTCTGAGCAGCACTTTATCTGTAAAAAGGCTGTTGCTCCAATGTCACAATGAAAGTAGTTAATTTCTGGTCACATCTGTGCTGCTCTTCAATTACAGTAGAACTCTAATCCTTTTTAAAAATAATTTTCCTTTGTGGTGGTGTGGCAGTAATTATTTGAACTGTGATGGTCTCGTGTGTGATGTATAACATTTGTACTGACGTGAGGAAGCAGCACGTGTCATGCAACTTGAGCTTCTGTTTAGTCATTTTGCTGAAAAAAAAATAGTGATGGTGGCCATTGTTTCTCTTTTGTAGGGGGCCAAGGGGAAGAGGACCTCCTTCGTGGTGTTCAGAGCCGATTGAGCGCCCATCCATTCTTAGTGCTAGTGAACTTAAAGAACTTGATAAATTTGATAACTTAGATGCTGAGGCTGATGAAGGCTGGGCAGGTAAGAACCTCGGATTAATGATTTCTTTTCTTTGTACATTTAATTTTTCTGAAGGATTAATTGAATATTTGCTTGTGTGTCAGGTGCTCAGAGTGAAGTGGATTACACTGAGCAGTTGAATTTCAGTGATGATGATGAGCAAGGAAGTAGTCAAAAAGAGAAGGAAAGTGGGTGAGTTGGAGCTGCTGGTTGTGTGTGAATGCTACACAGCTAGCTTAGCTTTTGGGAAACTTGAATGAAGTATGTGTGTGAAGTACTTCAGTATTTAAATACTGCGTTAAACCCTGTAACTGTCTGCAGCCTGTGAGTCATGAAATACAAGTGATTTTTCTTGTGAGAATCTTTCACTCTTGCTTAGAGATTTTGAGGATAGAAGATAAATCAACAAAGAGCTGTATGGAATACTCCTACTTTTCTCATCTTTTTGCACAGTGACGAACAAACGCCATCAAAAGATTCTCAGAGCCCTGATGCCCAGAAAGAAGCAGAAGAACAGACTAATGCTAAGTCTGCCACCCAGGCTTCTGCAGCAGCAACCAAAGGATCTTATGGCAAAAGTTCTCAGCTTGATCAGGTTTGTGTTTTTTTCTCTTTAGCTCTTCTGGCAAGAGTCTTGTCAGGGGAGATCCCACTCTGCTTCTTCTGAAGCTTCAGGTGGATTAGGGGTTATGAACATAAGTAAAAGCATTATCTACTGCTTATCTGAGCAGTAATAAGTGACGGGGTGATGCTTAGCTTCTGTTCCCAAATAAAAATGTCTTTTTCTAGTGTGTTCTAATCCACAGTTGTGAGAGAGGAGAACTCTTATGTCGCTTACTGTTACTCAATTGACAGGTTTTAACTGAATTATTTTGTCTGTCCATTGCTGTAACAGTGAATAAAACCATTCTGGTGTCCGTCATTTTTTGTAGAGGCGCAGAGAAATAGTGCCATGTTGACTCACACACTCTCCTTGTTTTCTTTTTTTTTTTTTTTTTGTAAATCATGACCTGGTTTTCTTCAGTACAGCTTTGCAGTAGCATGTCAACTTGTTTCTTCTCAGGTAGATAGATTTCTGTCTAGATGTCGTGGAATGCATCAGTTCAGCCATTTTGGTTTTTGGATTATCCTGCAGTAGAAAGGCAGCCATCTCAGCTTATGCCTGCTTCAGCTTGCTGGGGTATTTTTTCCCTATGAAAAGCTGGCGTTGGCGTTGAGTGGAAATTTCCTGTCACCAGTAACAATGAAGATGGGGGATCCCGAATTTGTTTTTCTTGCTCTTTTTCTCTGTAGACAGATTGTGTCATTTTCCAAGGTTTGATGCTGTACTGAATCTGAAGAAAAACATTACAGTAAACTAAATGCAAAGTTTGGATGCTTTTTAAGTAATTGTTCAGCTGTAATGAAGATGTTCTTGCCCTCTTTGCGTGCTAATCTGTATCCTATGCAATGTAGTTCACTAGATATAGTATTTTAATGTCGTAGGAAAAAGTACACCTAAAAATAACCAGCCTTGCTCCTGTTACAAGCTATTTACCCTGGTATTGTGCTTGATCCAATAGGATCGGGGTCCAGCACAGCCCTCTATACATGAAAGAGGTGGTCCTCCTCTTCATCCCAAGTCTATTCTACCACCGGTAAGAAAGATCAGAATTGTCCGTATTTTCTTGAGTTAAATTCCTTAATGCTGTGATGGAGGGAATTAAACTTGGAAAAGTAACAATGCTTCACATAGGGTTAGCCTTTTTCTGTAACAGTGTGATTGTAGTACCTGGGGCTGATGAGAGGGAGACCTCAACATAGCCACGCTGCTAATTGATTGTGTAAATTGTGTAAGTCTTGAAAGTGGCTTTGTGAAATGCATGTGAACTTCAAGAGCTTTTGATAATCTAGCCTTACCTGGGACTAGAGAGGGGAAGGACATGAGAAAGGTGTTTAAGGGCTGAGTGTGGCTTAATGTTGGCTGCATGCCCAGGTAGACAGGGAAATGAAGTTCTGAGTGAAATGTGTAGGTAGTAGCTGCTTAACAATTTTCAGCAGTGCTCATTAAAATCTTGATGATCCTAAGATAATCTTGAGTTTCTTGGTCTACTTGGACTTTTCGTCTGAGATCTGTCAGAGCAAACTGTAACCAAATCTAAAAGGTGTTTGTCACTTCGCATTAGCAGCAGTAAGAAGTGACACGAGCTCAACTGAATCTTTACTTCTACTTTGACTTAAGGTTGCATGGAAGGTGTCTTTCAAGCCTTACTTTGTAAAAATGCCATCCAAATACATCAGTAGGCAGACAGTTAAAATGTTGTATTTCAACTAGTTTGTTTTATGTAATCATGCCATTGCTGACTCACTGATTTTAATCTACATTACTACAGCATCCTCCTCCTCCTGATCGCCAGCTAGGACCTGGAAGGCAGGGACCCTTTCCTCCTAAACCAGTACCAGATGAAGATGAAATCTGGAAACAGAGGAGAAGACAGCAGTCAGAGATATCTGCTGCGGTTGAGCGAGCCCGTAAGCGCCGCGAAGAGGAAGAAAGAAGAATGGAAGAACAAAGAAAAGCAGCTTGTGCAGAAAAGCTGAAACGGTTAAATGAGAAATTTGGCTGTATGACAAAACCCTCCCGTGAAGACCCTCTGAAAGAGAGAGAGAGGGAGAGGGAAAGGGAAAGGGAGAGAGAAAGGGAAAGGGAGAGGGAGAGGGAACGGGAGAGAGAGCGGGAGAGAGAAAAGGAGAGGGAGAGGGAAAGGGAAAAAGAAAAGGAGAGGGAGCGGGAAAGGGAAAAAGAAGAAAAAGAAAAACTGGAGAAAGCAAAAGAACAAGAAAGGGAAAAAGAGAAAGAAAATGAGAGAGAGAAGGAAGAAAAAGAGAAGGAGAAGGAGAAAGAAGAGGAGAAACCAGTACATGAAGCTCCTGAGCCTGTAGAACCTGTGGTAACGCCTGTGGTAGAAAAACAAGAAAGTGAAAGCAGGAATAACAAGGAAGAAAAAGGTATGCTTACGTGCAAGTAGGAGTTGTCTCTCTTGCAGCTGAGCCACAGAGCGTAGTAGTAATCTAGCAGTCTAATTGCCATACCTGATTAACTCTGCATCTAGATCATGTGTTTCCCCAGCACACTACAGCTGCTGACTCTGTCATTTGAGCTAGACCTGTCTGGCCAACTCATCAAAGTGTTAAAGGAAATATTGAGTTCTGTAACTTAAGCAGAACATGAAAGAATACAGAAAAAGTACAAGGCTTTTTTTCTTGCTATAAGAGAGTCAGTGATTCATATTGTCAAAAAACAATTAAATTATTTCAGCTATTCTGTATTTTAAGCAAGCCTAGAGAAGTAGACACAGAGCACATGTTTATACTTAATGCATTTTTTTGTAGTAGAGCTTGAGTGCCTCTGATAGACTATTCTTTATACCTTGGTGTCATCCCTTAAGTGAGTACAAATGATTGTAAAACTGAACTTTGGTTCATAAAGAAATTTATTAAAATTTAAAACAGTAGTGCTTCTTAAATCGCACAATAGTTGCAGCATGAACTGAGCAACCATTTATGGTTATTTGAGTTTAAAGGGAACTCTGGGAAATAATGTTTTGAAATTCTATTCTTTTAGTCTGTGTGTGTTCTGGAAACTAGAACTGTGAGGTTAGAGAAAGCAAGCTTGTTTTCATTTTAGAAAGATATCTCTTATCTGACACTCTGGTTAATGTGAAATTACTAGCTTTAAAATACACTCTTTTCTCCTGCATTTGTTTTTTCAGAAGATCAAGCAGTCTTTACCCGACAAGACAGTGGTCGGAATGAAAAAGAGATTTCACAGGTGACTCATGAGAGCGAACCAGAATCAGGATCTCAACCTCGTCCTGCTGTTTCCTCAGGCTATTCTAAACAGTTCCAGAAATCATTACCACCGAGATTTCAGAGGCAGCAGGTAACCAACTTGTTTGCTAAAAGGAAGAATAACGCAATGTCTTCTGCTTCATTCTGAGTAAGAATGTGACTATTTAGGGGCGGGGGAAATCTAAGTTATTGGTTTCCAGCTTCTGTAATATTGTATTGGCTGAATTGGTTTTGTAGGGAGCACCTCCCATCACTTGCAAAGTACACAAGTGAGCAGAAGACAAGAGAGGCTTCTAAAACTGGCTGCTTTTGGCATCAGTTACCAGAAGTAGAGCATTACCCTGTGGATACTTGTGCAATCAGAGAGATCTGACGATCATTCTTTCTTCAGCTTTACGTTAAAGGCTGTGGCACTCGCAAATGTATTCTGCATTCAGTTTCTATGGTCTGAAGAGCACTGGTCACAGCATAAACAAAGTATAGATTGTTCTGTATCTCAGCTGAACACTAGCAAAACTATAGCTATTTTAAATTGTACAGTCTTCTCCCATCTCCTCCCCCTTTTCTCCTCGTTTATTCTGGTTTGTTTGTGATGAATTTTCAAAATGTTTAGTATCCCAGAGGTGATTGCAATCCTTGTTTCCAAGGGTTATTTTAATTCTGCTCATGTCTTCATCTTAATGTAAAGTCCTATAATGCTATTTTCTATTATTCAGGAGCAAATGAAACAGCAGCAGTGGCAGCAACAGCAACAAGGTGTAATTCCACAGTCTGCTCCCTCACAGCCTTCTAGTGGCCCTGTCCCTCCTCCCCAGCATAGACCTCTTTACCAACCAATGCAACCACATCCACAGCATTTGGCTTCAATGGGTTTTGATCCACGGTGGCTTATGATGCAGTCTTACATGGACCCACGAATGATGTCAGGAAGGCCTGCAATGGATATGCCTCCTATTCATCCAGGTAAAATCTGGCAACTCTTCTGACTGTCGAACTTTCTTGGGCTTGAAATAGATGTCTTTTCTTAACCACATTATATATAGCAAATGAGCTTTTTTTATTATTTTTTATTTTTTTGAAAGATAAGTATCATTTGAGACTAAGTATGTTGGAATGCTTTTGTTAGGTAGAGACAGTCATGCATCAATATATATCTTGTCTACATAGTAAAATCAGAGCTTTCTCCTGTATCACAGGCAAGTTACTGATAGCAACACTGTATTCAAAATGTCAACATAAGCCTTACTTGCTTACAGTTATCATAGTTGGCATGAGTTAGATTGTTATGCTATAAAAACAGTATATTTATGGTTCATCTTCCATAATGTATTAGCTCTTGGTATTACTTCAATTATTTTAAATAAAAAATGAGATGTTGTTTTTATCTTACATACTAACATCTCTGGAGTCTTGTTCAATTCCTGTTTTCAAGTTCTTGGCACTAAAAAGTCCTTTTAAACTTTTGGAATAGCTATTTGATTTGAGAGTAGAAAAGCTGATGTGCATAAATAACACCAGACTGGCAGATAACGTAGTGGGAAGACCACTGAGCAGAAGGAGCAGGACACAGGGGAATGCATCTCTCAAAAGGAATGTAGAGACTGAATTGAGGAATTGGTAACCTAAGCAAAACTAATGATAACCATAGTGCTGCTTTTAAAATGTTTACAAAATAGGACCTAGAGTCTTAATAACAGTGCCAAGGACCACCTTGTATGTACATTCATCTTGCTTTTTGCCATTCATATCTTAGAGCAGAATCTTCATTCTCACGCTTGCAGGTTTACAGGCCTTGTTCTTTTGTTACGGTGGAAACAGACAGCTTTTGCTTTTGTTGGTACTGAGGGCACTGGTGGTGGATATGACTTAATCATTTTGGGGTCAATTGACAGTGAAGAGACATTTGGTTCCAGTAAGAGAAGGTACAGAGGAAATGTAGGAGGACAGAGAAAAGGGCTTTTTTGGACCTGCTGATATACTTTGTATTTCATGAGCTAAGTCTCTTTGCTAATTCAGCTGTTGAACTTGAACTTGTAACAGGAATTATGCCTCCCAAACCACTGATGAGAAGAGACCAGCTGGAAGGATCAGCAACCAGCTCAGATTCATTTGAACATATAGCTCGCTCAGCAAGAGAGCATGCTGTTCCTTTGTCAGAGCCCCGCATAATGTGGGGGTCAGATCCATACCCCCACGCGGAACCTCAGCAAGCTAGTTCTCCTCCCAAAGTGTTAGAAGAGCCTGACAGTTTGAGGTAAGCCTGAGTTACGTACCCTTTCATGCCTGTCACTACTGAGCCAAACCTGCTTACACATTCAGCTCTGTAATTTGTATTGTAAAAGATAGTTTAAACTGTAAATTCAGACAAAGTTAACGCTGCTTTTCACACGAAACTTTAAAAGGAGTTGTGACTGGAGGGAACGTACTTGGCACTGTTGTATAAACAAGACATGCCTGCTGCACAGTAGGGCATAGAAAAACAATTTACCCATTGTTTAGGATCCTTAACCTGATTTGATGAATGGTGACTGTGATAATACTACGAATTTTCAGTTTTCTAGAACGTTGCTGCAGGGTTGTATACTATCCTTCATCTGCTCTCCATCTTCCCCATATTAGTGAGCTTCTGCCTGGTGCACATCGGTTGCAGAAGTGATGTGTATAAACAAGCAGTATAAACTAAGATAGTTGCCTTGGGCTTCTTTAAAGTACCCCTCCCCCGTTTTTTTTTTTCCTGTAGCATTTCCTGTGTCATACCTGCTGACAGCCTGCTAACCTGAAGGTTCTGATTAAAATGCACATATAGCCATTAATGTGAATGGACTCCTAAAACAGATTGTACACTGGACACTGAATTTTTAACCAAAGTGGCATAAAATAAATACCTATAAAACTGGCAGCCACTTTGAAAATTGATACATTGTTTCCTGAATCTGACAGAAATCCTTCGTACAAACAGAAAGTCATTCAAGTAAATATCTATGAATGAGAACTTTATCCCTCCCCCATAATATTCTTAATTGTTGTTTCTTAGATCTGAGGCACACTTGGAGCAAGAACGGGTTGCTGTTCCCGCTGCAGCTTATCCTGTAGAACACAACCAGCTGGACTCTCATCCAAAGCCAGACTTTTTCAGAGAACCAGGAGAGGTGGAAGTGCAAAAGTTCCCAAGCAGGCCTTTGGAAGATGCCCAACCTCTCCAAACTGACACATCTAACACTAAAGTTAATTTTGAAGGAATTGATGAGAATGTTTCACGCAGCTCTGCAGAAGAACTCATGCCTGTTGGGGAAAGTCATTCTTCATTAAAGAGAAGCATTTCCCACGGCTCAAGTCATTCTCTAAAATCAGAAGAACAGAGGATCGAGACAACAGCAAATATCTCTAAAATAAGCAGGCCTGTTGAGTCAAAGGAGACAATTGAGAGAATTGAGATTAAGCCAAAAAAAGAAGTTTTGATCAATAATAGAACATCTGAAGGACCTAAACTTGAGAAAACATTTAAACCTAAGTCTGAAACAAGGTGGGGTCCTAGGCCTGGTTATGGCAGGAGAGAGGAAGGCAGTGATAGACCAATAAGAAGATCAGGTCCTATTAAAAAACCTGTGCTTAGAGATATGAAAGAAGAGCGTGAACAGAGAGAAGAGCGTGAACAGAGGAAGGAGAAGGAAGGAGAAAAGATAGGTAGTGAAAAACCAACCAAGGCTGAAAAAAGCGACAAAAAGGAAGTACCGCAAGGGCCAGTGCCTCAGACTGAGCCAGAGACATCCACCTCTAGCAGTGCTCTTCTAGCTAAGAAGGTAGTCCAGGATGCTGCTCCAACACCAGCGAGCCCAGAGAGCACTCAGACTGAGACTGCAGCTAAAGTTCCAGTTCAGCCACCCACTCCTCCAGTCTTGCAGCAGTTACCAGCTGCACAGCCCGCTGTTCCACAGCTTCCCCCTGCAATACTGCAGCAACCACCAACTCAGCCTGTAGCGCAGCAGCAGCCACAAGCACAGCAGCCAGTTACCACAGTGAAGGAAGAAAAGCAGACGGAGAAGGTAGTTAACAAAGAAGTTATAGAGAAACCACGCTTAGAAACCAGACCAGTAAAAAGAGAGCCTGGCTTACCACCTAGGACATACTGGAAAGAGGCGAGGGACAGAGACTGGTTCCCAGATCAAGGGTACAGAGGCAGAGGTCGTGGGGAGTATTATTCTAGAGGTCGTAGCTACAGGGGTTCTTACGGAGGACGTGGTCGGGGCAGTAGGGGCCATAACAGGGAGTATCCACACTACAGAGATACTAAGCCTAGAACAGAGCATGTGCCTTCTGGGCCTGTTAGACAAAGGGAAGAGAGTGAAACTCGCAGTGAGAGTTCAGACTTTGAAGTGATTCCAAAACGACGACGACAGCATGGTTCGGAGACTGATTCTGACAGCGAGGTCCATGAAAGTGCAAGTGACACTCTGCTTTCAGACAAAGACAGTCTCATCAAAGGCAAACACCCAAAAAGAGAAGAGAGAGCTGATGGCAAGAAACCTACAAAGCCGCTGTCATTCAAACCTGAAAACAATATCAGAGTGGACAACAGATCTCTGGAAAAAACATATATGAGAGATGATGAGAATAAACCTAAACCAGGGTTTCTTCCTAAAGGAGAGCCTTCCAGACGAGGTAGAGGGGGAATGTACAGACGTGGTGGAAGGGATCCTGGTGGGCGCCCTCCACGACCATCCACAATAAGGAGGCCAGCTTACAGAGACAATCAGTGGAACCCCAGGCAAGCAGAGATTATTAAACCAGAAGATGGGGAGCCGCCAAGGAGAAATGAGCACTATGGTCCTATACCAGTTGATAAAAGACCTCCAAAATTTGAGAGGAAGTTTGATCCAACGAGAGAGAGACCACGAAGACAAAGGCCTGCTCGGCCTCCAAGGCAAGATAAGCCACCACGCTTCAGGCGCCTAAAAGAGAGAGAGGCTGCATCAAAGATAAATGAGGCAGTAACTGGCTCATCAACTGCTGCTGCAGTCACTAATGCAGTTACTGAGCCCTCCAATACTGCTCTGGATGTTTCAGGAAGTAAGACACCAGACTTGTCCAATCAGAATTCTTCAGACCAGGCAAATGAGGAGTGGGAAACAGCCTCAGAAAGCAGCGATTTTAATGAGAGGCGTGAGAGGGATGAGAAGAAAACAGCAGATATAGCAGCTCAGGTGGCTGCAAAAGCAGGAGAAAACACTGGAGTTCCAAAAAGGGAAATAGCCAAGAGAAGTTTCTCTAGTCAGAGGCCTGGAATAGACCGTCAGAACAGACGTGGTAACAGTGGGCCAGCCAAACCAGGGAGGACCTTCTCAGGGCCTAGGAGTGAGAGGCGCAGTGGTCCTCCGCCCAGAAGTGGAAAAAGAGGGTGAGTACCAGCTTCGGTTAGGAGGCAGGCATAGCTGTGGTCATGCGTTGTCCTGTTGTGGTTCAAAGTCATTAATAATTGCTTTAGATTTGTTGTGACTGGTAGACAAGTGCAAGGTAACCACATGCACCAATATCTCTGTGCTTTCTGGTTTTTTGGTTTGTGTGTATAATCCAGAAAATTGACTGAATTGCACAGTATTCTTACATGTATGCATAGTGTTAATTAGCCTAATTAAAAAAAAAATGATGCATTTTCTCAGTCGGGTATGTTTTCCAAGATCTGGGTGCAAACTGAAGGCTTAATGTGAATGCTTTTGCAGTTTAATACATACATAGCTGCATTTCATTTGACCTATTGTATTTTTAGGTTAATTGTCTAACAGAAAAGCATGCTGAGACATGCTTGCCACTGAGAATAAATTTTGTTTCTCTATATGTTAAATTTGATTAGAATTTGATAATTATCTAGTGTTACTGTTTTCCCACTGTTTTGTAGCCACAGTGCACAGTAATTAATAGGTGGGAAGCAGAGCAAGTCATTTTTTCTTCATCGATTTCCTACCTTTCTTGTTCTTGTAGGTTGCTGTATATTAACTTCACATTTTGCTTGGACTTAAAGACTTAAATTCAGTGCTCTAATCTCTGAATTAAAAATACTAAGGCTTTCTTTGATAAGTCAGTTAAATATGATTTTGAAACGAAGGCTGGGTTTTCCAGGTTCCACAGCAAAGCCAGAATGTTTCAAGTCTCTGACTCTGATGGCTGCAGAGAGCTTCTGGCAAGGGAGCCTGTGAAACATTTCATACTGTAAGCTTCCATTTTTGTGTGTGCTTGTTTGTTTCTCTGCAGAACGCTTTACTAGAGTTTTGAACTGCGAACCTGTTGAGTTGTGGTGTGTCTAACTACGTAGAGTGAGGCAGAGTTCATCTTAAAATCACGCACTTCTTTTTTTCCTATGAATACTTCTGACAGCAGTGCATTGGATGTGTTACCAAAACAGCTTTTTCTGTTCAGTTTCTGCTCACTGAGGAGCTGAAAGTAAATGTCTGGAGCCTACCAAGAAGTTGCACATTAAACTCTCTCGACCCTATAATGTGATTTGCATTTTGCTAGCTTCTTCTTTCCTAAGCTCTGTGGATGTTAATTTCCTTAATATAATTTTTTTTCTAATATAGGCCATTTGAAGACCAGACAGCAAGCGTGCCTGGTGTTGAGCCCAGCAACAACAACTCTTTGCATCAGGAAGAAGGAGGTGTTAATGCAGCAGGGCAGAAGAGTACCAAGGATGCAAGTGGCAAAAAGAGAGAAGAACCTAAAGCTGGTCCAAAAAAGCCTAAGGAAAAAGTGGATGCTTTGTCTCAATTTGATCTTAATAATTATGCAAGTATGTATTGATAAGATACCATGAGAACAAGAGCTTGTCACCCTTCAGCTTGTCTGGATAGATGTTCGATTGCTGGGTAGATGATAGACTGCAGGGTGTTTGAAAGCGTACAAAAGACGACGATTTTTTAAAATGCGTGAATAATTGTATATTTCAGGATTGCTACTTTTGTCATGCTTAATTAACTTTTTCACTTAATAAATATTCAGTCCTAGTTCACCAGCAATGCACTTAGCAAGCAAAGCCTCAGCTTTTATCAGGGCCCATCGTCTGTGTCTGCTTATTGGGAAATTGCTTCCACCTAAAGCAGTTCATTCTTAATGTATTTTGTTGTGCACTGCATCTGAAGCTGTTAAAACAGCAACGTTGGCACCTTTCCTATTTCAATAGGCGTTGTGATCATTGATGATCACCCTGAAGTGACAGTAGTTGAAGACTCTCAGTCTAACTTGAATGATGATGGCTTCACTGAAGTGGTGTCAAAGAAACAACAGAAACGCTTGCAAGATGAAGAGCGCAGAAAGAAGGAAGAGCAAACAGTGCAGGTACAAGACACAGCATTTGTACCTGGCATTTGTGGTGGGAAAAAGCTCCTTGCAGTACTGGGAATGTTATGAGGTCTGCAGTGTCTTCATTTCAGGAAGCTGTATTTTCACCTGTTAAATGTAACTAGATAGTTGTATTAATTTTGAGTTCGGAATTAGTAGGTTAAATTAACTTTCACTTAAACATCTTAGGATTCAGTATTTTCTGTTTAGGCTACCAGCTGCAAGAGTGAAAATTTACTTTCGCTTGCAGGTTTGGACCAAAAAAGGATCGAGTGAAAAAGGTCGAGGTCAAAATTCCAAACTTCCACCCAGGTTTGCCAAAAAGCAGCAGCAGGCAGCAGCTGCAGCTGCGCAGCAGGCACAAGCTCAGGCACAGACTCCGTGTGCAGCACAGACTCCAGGTCAGCCACCAGCTTCTGTTCAGCCTCAAAATCAGGCTGCAGGAGGGGCTGCAGCCAGCACAGAATTCACGGTATCAGGCAAAGTCTTGCAGAACGCCCAGGCTCACAATGGTCTGGGAACTGAACTATGGGAAAACAAGGTGCCTCCTACCGCAGTTCTGAATGACATCTCCAAAAAATGTAAGTACTGTTTTCTGGATTCTTTTTGTGCGTAAGAGGGGCAGGTATTGTAGTTAGAGAACACTGACTCTCAGCTCTTACATTTACACGTGCAAGTGTATTTTGCAAAGGGAATAGAGGGCAACAGTGTAATGTTTAAACCTATGAATACTTCAAAAGACTCAAAAGACTTCTGCAGTGTGACATTACTCAGTATTTTATGTTGTTAGCATAGTCTGTTTACGCAAAATAAGGATATTACTCCCTTCAGAAATCTGTTTTGTTGGGCTTGGTCAAGCTTCCAAATGTGATGATCAACCCTTTTAAAAACAGCTAAATATGAATCATATTGCTAACTCCTGGGTACACTAATAACTTCTGAACCAGAACTTGGTTAATGGACACATCTGTGGTCTAATTTTTCTCAATCAGTTGGTAGCTGTAGTCAAATGCATTTAGCAACTTAGGTTTTTTTGGTGGTGTTTTGCTTTTAACTCTCTCCTTACTTGTCAGTGGGACCTATTAGTCCACCTCAGCCGCCTTCAGTGAGTGCTTGGAACAAACCTTTGACATCTTTTGGATCAGCCACATCTCCAGAGGTAAGGATGAAGGGGAAAGAAGCTTACTCAAATTGTTTATTGTGAAGATTGGGTGCCGATTATTCAGGTGTGGCCATACATAAACTGGTGTGTGCAGAATTTCATGAGGTAGGGAGGTAGTACAGGATGATGCAGGCTAATGCTTTTATTAACTGCAAGACAGTTCTTTATGAATCAAATCTCAGATTTCACAGATTTTATTGGTAGCTGCTGTTCAGTGTATATTTTTAAGCTGAAATATTGTCTAGTTTGTGAATGCTTGTGTCCAGCTTAGTAATGCAGACAGAAATAGGATGCCTTCTCTTACGACACCATTTCGGATGGCATAAGGAGTTCTGTGAATCTTTTTAAGTCTTTGTTTTTTCTTGAATGCTAATTTTGAAGTTTCAGGAGAATAATATGAACTTGAATCTAGACTTTTTTAATATTGTATTTCTCTTTCCTTTTCAGTACCACATCTTTTTCACAATTTCATTTATACATTTCTTCACTACTACTACTTTCCTCCCCCCTGAGCTCTTTTAAGCAGTAGGAAGCTGAGAAGAAACCAGTGTGGTTTCATATGTTGTTTACTACTTGCAAGTTTATTGCAATCATGAATAATGCTTTTGCTGGCAGAAGGTAGAAGTATGCTTGTAGCATTCAACTTCCAGTATACTTTATGGTCTTTTATTAACTAATGGCAGTGTACTGATAGAAGTCTTTTGAAATGTGTTAAATGCTTGCTTTTTAAATAGGGAGCAAAGCCTGGGCAAGAAGGTGGAGTCGAGCTTGGTATAGAAACTATTCAGTTTGGAGCCCCTGCTTCCAGTGGTAGTGATAATGAAGTTGGCCCTGTACTTTCTGAGAAGTCGACTGACAAGCTACCAGAACCAAAAGAGCAAAGACAGAAACAGCCTCGGGCTGGACCCATCAAAGCACAAAAGGTAAAACATCATACTTTTAAAACTTGAAAAGAAAGATTAGTCAAAAAGATGTTGCAAATAATTGATTGAAAAATGGAATGCTAACTTAAATAGGACTAGACCTATAAAAATTGCATTCCACGTTTGTATTTCCTAAAATAATAACATAAGATAAAAAATAAGATGGGGAATTCGCTTGAAGAAGTGTAAGTACACAGCATCCTAAGGCAAGAGTTGATCCACTGACTCCATTTGGAGCAACAGATGTAGCTGCAATAAAGATGGAGTTGTGAATCTGTTAGCTTTGCTGGAGGAGTATGGATTTTGTAGGGTGTTTTTGTTTTTAATTTTTGTGTACACTTGTGCTTATTTTGCTCAGGTTGTCTTGAGGGCAGGCTATTTCTGTCTTACATCTCCGATTTCACTTCTTTCTGCGGCCGTGTCTGCCTTTCTCCCCCACACCGCTGTCTGTAGCCATTGACACATGGTGCCTTGCTTAGTTTTGTACCTAGGATTACCAAGAAATACATCAAGTTGCAGGGGAAGAAGTGTTTGGAGAAAAGGGAAGAATGTTAGAGCCCACTGATAAGAAGTCTCAAAAGAACAGACATCTAGAAGATTAACTTTTTTTTTTAATTAATCTGGGAAGAGTGAGTAGGTAATCAAACTTAATTAAAATACATTTCTCATTTTTCTCAGGAGATTTAGAGCTTCCAGTTAACCACAATCAGTTTGTACTTCCATTGTTACCTCTCACAAGGAGTCTGAATGACTACTGTCATTCAGATTACACTTAGTGATCTTTCAGGTTAATGGAACTTAATTTCCTGTTGTTTTCTCCTCCAGTGTGTACTTATCTCTGCATTGCTAGCACTCACTTGAAGGAAGAGGTAGCTCAGACAGATACGCTTTGCTCACAAGTTACTAAACCAGTTAATTCAGTTTCTCTTGTCTGAGATTTGGCAGCAGTCTTGATGTACTTAAAGCCCTTTTTGTATTTCTAGAACACAGGTGCTTTCTTTTTTTTTTTTCCAAAAAACTCTTGAAATCTAAAATTGCAGTTACATGCATTGTGAATTTATTGAGGCACTTAGTAACTCTGCTGCAGTTGATGGTTTTCATTGCAGAATATAAAACCCTTACAACAGAGAAGTGTACAGTAGCTAATCATGCTGGTGAGTCGTAGTAGCACAGCATGTTCAAGTGCCCCCAATGAAGTCATTTGGATATGAAACTCCTCCTAAAATTGTCCATTTTCCATGTAGAGATTTTTTTTTTTTTTTTCCTGCTTGGTTATAACTGAAGACTCCTGAAGGTTTTGTTGAAAGACATGTGCAACTAAATGGTAAACTCATTGGAGATGACCATTTTGATGAGCTTTTCTAAATGAGAGTTGCAATCCTTCAACCTTTCTGATGAAGAGGAGGAATGGGGAAAAAAAAAATCCTACACATCCCCCATCATGATGGTATGCACAATGAAGCCCAGATCATAGAATCACAAAGTTGGAAATGACCTACGAGATCATTTAGTCCAACAGTCTTCTCATTACCACTGCTACCACAAGCACTTAACCATATCTCCCAGCTCCTCATCCAGATGCCTCTTAAACACTGCCAGGGACAGTGATTACATCACCTCTCTGGGCAGCCATTCCAGTGCCTGACCACTCTCTGAGAGAAAAAGTTTTTCCTCTTGTCTAACCTAAACCTCCTCTGGTACAACTTGCGGCCATTTCCCTGGATCCTGTTTGTTGCCTGGGAGAAGAGGCCAAATTCCTCTTCACCACAACCTCCCTTGAGGAAAGTTGTAGAGTGCAATGAGGTCTCCCTTGAGCCTCCTCTTTTTCAGACTGAACAATCCCAGCTCCCTCAGCTGCTCCTTGTGCTCCATACCCCTCACCAGTTTTGTTGCCCTTCTCTGGACATGTTCCAGGATCTCAGTGTCTTTTCTGTAGTGAGGGGCCCAAAACTGAACACAGTACTCGAGGTGCGGCCTCACCAGTGCTGAGTAGAGGGGGATGATCACCTCCCTGCTCCCGCTGGCCACACTATTTCTAATGCAGGCCAGGATGCCGTTGGCCCTCTTGGCCACCTGGGCACACTGTCGGCTCATGTTCAGCTGAGCATCAATCAGCACCTCCAGGTCCCTTTCCTTTTCACAATCATCCAGCCACTCATCCCCAAGCCTGTAACGCTGCATGGTGTTGTTGCGGCCAAAGCGCAGGACCCGACGCTTGGCCTTGTTGAACCTCAGCCCAGAGATCCAGCTTATCTAAATCCCTCTGAAGGGCCTCCCTACCCTCAGGCAGATTGATACCACCTCCCAGCTTGGTGTCATCTGCAAATTTACTGAGTGTACACTCAATCCCCTCATCTAGGTCATCAGTGAAGATATTAAACAAGATGGGCCCCAGTACCGAGCCCTGGGGAACACCACTTGAAACAGGTTGCCAGCTGGACTTAACTCCATTCACCACTTACCCATTGGGCACAGCCCTCTAGCCAGTTTGTTACCTAAAGGAGTGTATACCTGTCCAGACCATGGGCAGCCAGTTTCCCCAGAAGAAGCCTGTGAGGGACTGTGTCAAAGGCTTTGCTGAAGTCTAGGTAGACTACATCAGTAGCCCTTCTGTCATCTACCAATCTGGTCACCCAGATATTAGCTTGTTCAATGTCTACGGGCAACGAGAGGACTGTAATTGAAACAAAGCCATTTAACCTCTCAGAATGTGACCTGAAATTGTCTGGAGGAACTTCTTCTGTTAATTATTACAAGAAAAGGTATTTAGGGTGAGGTGGGTTTGACGATCCTGATTGCTGTGTTGCAGAGCTTAGGCACTCGCTTCCAAGGTGCTTTTGTCTTTCCCTCTAAAGACATTTTCCAGTCTGTACTGGCCTCCTGAGGGTACTAAATACATTGGGAAAATTTCATCCCTCCCCAAAGGCATTTTAATACAAAAGGTCTTCGTCCATTTGTGAAACAGATGGTTCATGTTTGTAGAGACATACCATCAGCTTCTGGTTTTCCACTATCAAAGCTCAAGCAATAGGATATCAGAAACTGCCTTTAAAGAATTTTTGTGCTCTGTAGTAAGGTGGGCTGAGCCAGGAAGGATATGCTTCTTTAAACAGAACATTCATGTTCCCTGGGGCCTTCATTCTTTAATTCAGGTGTACAAAAAGGAACTGCTGAATTACAGCAGCTACTCCAGCCATAGTCTCCACAATATCTCCACAATATAAGGCAATGCATGAACGTGGTGGGTTTTTTTTTTTGTTTTTTTTTTCTGGATATCCTTTTCGTGCTCAGTCAGTAGGAAAAAAACGCTGCCAACACTGAGACATCAACATATGAAGGGAGTCCTTTTCTAGTTTTCTAATCTCCTGGAACCCTGTAAAATCAGAATTCTCTAAAAATTGGAACAAATTGTGTGGACATGAAGTCTTGTGGCTTCCTTACTTTTCTGTACTTATAAGAAAAGTCTGCTGTAGGTTTTAATTAGGTTTTATTTTAGCTGTACTTCATATGATATGTCTCACTTGGCAACAGTGTTTAAATTCTTAATGTCCAGAGTGGATGCATTTTAAATGCTTGCCACTAATTTAATCTTGATTGATTTACTTATTAGAAAATGCTTAGCTGTGAGGAAAGCTTTGTTAGATTTAAACAAACTTGTTCTAAGCATGTTAAATATTGTTTTATGGGTAAGCTGTGGGGGGGAAGACATAACTGACAAGTTAACACTAACTTAGCTTCCAGACTTGAGTCCAGTAGAAAACAAAGAGTATAAACCCGGTCCTATTGGGAAAGAGCGTTCTTTAAAGAACAGGAAAGTGAAGGATGCCCAACAGGGAGAGCCTGAGGGACAGGAAAAGTCATCTCCCACCTCTGTGAGAAGTCCAGAACCTGTCACTGCAAAGGAAACCAAAGCGACAAGTGAACTGAGTACGGAAATAGGAACAATGATATCTGTGTCTGCTCCAGAGTTCGGAACAAGCACAAAGGTAAGAAAAATGTTGAAATATTATAGAGCACTGTATATAAAATAATGCCACAGTGATGTGATTAAATTTTGTTGCCTGCTGGTTGTAGTGATCTGGACAGCAGAGCTTGCTGATTAGCAGATTTGAAACAAATGGTTACTGCTTGAACTTAAATAGTTCTCTGGAAGTGGTATGGAGATGTGCTGTCACAGTCATTGCAGAGATCAGCTTGGAAAGTTGTAAAGTCTTCCACTGCCTTATGAGCGTGAGAACTATTCAGAGCCTTTACTTTTTGTGGAGAGTGGCACTAGAGCTTGATACAGATTGTGTGAACTCATGTCTTGAATGTGTTTCTGGTATACACAAGATGAGAGCTTGACTTTCAACAGAAAGCTACAGAAAAGGAGCATGCCCAGTGGTTGTTTGAGAGCATGGATGTCCTGAAGCTGTGAGTTAAGTGTTCTGAGAAGGGTGAAGGGGGGGAGTGGAGTTGAAATCTCTAAGCTAGGAAGATGCTAAAGCATTGCATAAGGCTCAGTCAGTTTACCTAAAGGTTCTGTGTGTCAGGCTTGGGATATACTCAAGGTACATTCACTTGCAGAATTCAGGACTCATTGCAGTTGTCAGCAAGGAACTCCCTTGCCTTCCAGTGAGATGGTGACTTACTGTTAGCCTTCACTGGTCTGTAGCTTAGTTCTTGGCTGTTATGTGCCAAAAGCACTGAATCATTGAAAAACACCCATGGACAGACTCTCCTGTTTGCATAATGGCCCATGTGGGGGCTGTCTTTTCTGTCAGTTACATGTCTAAGGCAAGAACTGTGAGTGTTCTTAAATGGAGAGAAGCTATGCAGGATTGAGTTGGTACTAGTTCAATAGTTACACCTGCTTTGATAATTGGAAAGTTTGCAAAACAGTTCTGTGAGTTTAGACTCAAGTTTGTTGCGTGCTGTCTCAATCTGTCTTTCTAATCTTAAGCAGAAACATTCTGACACCTCTCAGGAAAGCCGTTCATCTGCAGCAGTTTCACTAATAGTTGAAGAATCTGAAATGCAGATCAGTTTTTTTGTTTAAGCCTGTTGCTGGGGTGGTGGGGAGCAGTCCTAGCAGGTACTTGTCAAGCTATCATACAAGCAGAAGATGCTGTTGTGATGAAATCTTGTTGCAGAGCAAATGTTAAGGGAGAAATGGTTCCCAGCTGTTAGCTGCAAATTTGATTTTGAGTGGAATGACAAATGTGTGAAAATAAAGTACTGGGATTTTTCATCCTTCCTAGCAGTTTTCGTCTTTGGTAGTAGATGTGAATGGTTTGTGTTGACACCAGAACTGAACGAGGTGCTCTTCTTTTGTGCACAGAATCAGAAGTGCAGAACCATAAACATCAACCTGTTCAAGTGTTTGCTAAGGAGGCTGTTCTTTGTGTGCCATGTACTTTCTGACCATCTCTCAAACTTCTTTGACTTGCACTCAAGGAGAAACTCCTAATCCTGTAGAGTAGACATCTTTGATCACTGGACTAACTTGCTGGTAGCTCTGCTGAAGTAAATTGGTACCATGTATACACGTATTTTAAAAGAATGAGATCTTCAAAAGGGAAGTCTGTATTTTGTGCCTTTCTGGCCCTAGTTAAAAACAGGTTGCCTGTGTTCTTTGAACTACCACATTATTGAAGTGCCAAACCTCTTCTAAAGGGAAGATCAAATTGAAAGGAAAATGGAAAGTCTGTGCTGGACATGCCAATTTCCAACAATTTCTTCATTGTTTGAAGTGGCTTCTTTTAGAAGCATTTAATGTATGGTGTAAATAGGCCTTAAAACACCTTCAGCAGTTCCAGATTTGCTTTTGAATTCCTTTGTCACGTAGAGTTCCATGGGCATCAGTAGTAAGTTTTCTAGGGAACAAGCAGTCATATTTTGTATTAACTTCTATGGAAATTGAATCAAGAGCCTACAGATCTATCAGGGAAGATAAATTTCACCTGGACTGCACAGAAATAAACCAGTCTTGGTACTTCTGAAATGGTTTTAAATACTTACTGTCCTAGTCTTGGGGTTCCTGTGCTGGTTGGTATTGCAGCTGCTTTTTCCTGTCTGTAACATTGTCTTTGCTCATTAATGAGGAAAGAAGCCATGTCATTTTTAATCTGTTGTTCGAATGTCAGATGTTTAATTTTTAGCACACTAAAATTATTTCTTTGAACACTGCCATCCTTTTTGGGAAACTACTGCTCAGGTTGCAGCAAGGTGTACTTCCTTCAGTGTATTTGTTGATTTGAATGTTTATGAAAGTCAAGCTTAGCTGTCTTTCCTCAAAAGCAGAGACTTTGTAGAAGTATCCCATCCATACCAGAACAAGCCCTTTAATAAGATCATATATATTTAATCAGACAGGACTGTTCTGCCTCAAACTGTGAATGTCGATCACCTTGTACTGATGAGCTGTTTATCAGGAATGTATCGCTGTGATGTTCTGAAGCACTTTCAGCTGTTTCTCTTGAGTTTGGTAGTATTTTTGGAGTGAAAAGCAATTTCTTGCGTAAGTCTCTGAATCAGGTAGGACGTCTTTAGCTTTCTTCCATTTGAACACCTCCAAGTAAAGTTTGGAAGCTTTCTGATCACAGCGGTGATCAGTACCTGGAAATGGCAACAAAGCTTTGGATGAACGGGTGATAAAAGCGGTACGTTGCAGAGGTGATATCAAAAAGGAGGCATGCTTTATATAGAAGTAATTTCTGAAATGGTTCAGTATTGACAAGCACTCTGGTTTGAATTAATTCCGTATCTCAGGAATAAATCAAACGTTCAGCATGTTAATTATTTGAGGGCCCTTGCTCCTTTGCAGTAGCTAGGTGAGCTCTGAGGTCTGCTGTATCCTTCTGTTCATAAAGTCACTTTAGGTTTTGTGAGCTCTTTTGAGCAAATTTAGTTGTAAAAAGGTAACCTGTTTTTTGTTCAGATGTAAATACCCTGTAGATAACTTCAGTACCTACTGCTGATGCTATTATTACAGTTATTAATTTATAGCAAAGCATTCAGTTGGTTTATTCACTAAAACAGTTGTTCAGAAGATTCACTGTAATTGAACTACAAAAGCATATGGTATCTGTATGTAAAAGACTCCTAGACTTTTTCCTATCAGTAAATGAAAGGTGATGGTTAACCAACCCATGATATCATCAGTGCTGTTCTTACAACTAAAGTACTGTTTTCTCTGCACGTTTAGCACGTAACTTATTTTTATAGGGCTGTTCAGCATTGCACACCCACTTCTGAGGGCACCACAGTGGATGTGTTAGGGCTTTTTGTTTTACATTCTCTTGGGAGTTAAGAATTTCTATGCTGCAAAATTATCCAAAGTTGGGAAGATAGCAAAAACTTTGATTTAATTTCTTTTGTGACGAGCTGTAGTGCTGAGACCATGTAAAACTCAGGTCTTAGCCTTGAAGGCGTTTTGGTAATGTTACCTTTAAAACTTCCTGTGATAAAGGATCTTATGTGATAAAGCATCTTTAAAAAACAAGGAGCCATTCAGTTACACTTCATTAAAAGGATCTTGTGATTAAAGCAGCTTTGTGTGCTTGCTTTGTTCTACATATGTAACCTATATCCTGTGTAAGATTATATGAGATTGTATTATATCCCACCAGTTCAACAAGTGAGGAGAAGAACTACGTGGTGAAGCAGGTTCTTTCTGTCTCCATCGTAAATTCATGTGTGCACATCCTAGCCCGTATAGTATAGGGCTCTTTGTCCTGATCTTTTACCAAAATAAGCTTATCCTTAAGGATGGCTCTTTGTCACTTGCTGATTAGTATCTTAATGCTTCAATTAATATCTTAGGAGACACTGTCACAGACTTTAGCAGTGAATTCAATATATAGTTTTTCATAGTTTATCATCATACTGGTTGAGTATGGCTGAATTAAACAAGTATCATCTCTTTGGTGCTTTCAGAGGCATTGCGTTGGCAAGTCCAAACACTTGTCAACAGCTAATTTATGCTTCAGTTACTTCTTGGTGTTTGGTTCTGTAAAAATGGTGGAACCTATTCTGGGCTTTCAGTATTTGCTAGCGAATTAATGAATCTTGGCTAATTTGGGAGTGTTTGGTCACACCATTTATCTGATAGTCTTAAAACAGTTCTTACACCACTTGTTTGTCTGGAATACACTCAGATTTAAACATCCAGTGAGGAAGACTAAAAACAATGCTAAATTTTGTTTCAGAGAGGTGCCAGTCCCTTTTTGTTCGTTGTAGGTCATTCTCTAGAGAGCTGGCAGTGCCATCAATTACATGTTTTCAGCGGGGAGCTTAGACCCACAGCCGCAGTAGTCACTGACTGCAGTTAAGTCCATGAGAGTGAGTTTGATTCATGGAGCGTGTTGTGGCTTACCTAACTGTGAGGATAAATGAGCTACAAGAAAAGCCTTTGGGTGGGCTTGCGCTTCCAGCCCTTTTATTTCTTGATGTTACTGCCCAGTGCAGAAATTAGGAAGCAAACATGAGCTGTCCAGAGGCACTAAGTTTAAGACGGGACTTAAGGAAAATTGTTCTGTCTTTTTTTTAACTGGAAGGCCTTGCTTGTTACAGATCTACCCAAGGTATTCCTGCTTGTTTAAAGCTACAGGAAGGTTTCAGCTAATGTGATTTCACTTTTTGAATGAATTGGACAAAAACTGCCTACAAACAGCTAAAGCATCTTGAGTGACCAATGAGTGCCTCTGCCCCCACAGCTGTGTGTTCAATGCCCAGACGTGACATCACTCTGTATCCTTGCTTTAAAGACTGTATTTTGACTTGTCTCAAGTCATGCTTCTGAGATCATGGGACAAACTGTAGTCTACCCAAAATAGTTCTTCAATAGCAGTTCAGCAACAAGGATTGCTGAACAAGGATGTGCCTTCCAAGAAAAAAAATATATCTTTGGGAGATCAAATTCTAACCTGCTGAATGGTGAGGTTTCTTCCTGTGGAAAGGCTGACCTTTTTCCAAGAAACTTAAAATTGGATTTAGGTAAGGGAGATATTTTAATGGAATTATTTTTCTTCACAGGAGTCTGTAACAGACTACACTACACCTTCTCATCCTAACACAGTGGCTACTAGCAGTACAAAAATGGAGGAGACTTTGGTGACGAACGTAAGTCTATTGCAGTGAATCGACTTTGAAGACAAGAAAATTTTTCACACTTCCTTAAAGCACAAAATACTGCCTTCAGTTAACAAGTCACTAGAGTTTCTTCATGTTGACTAGCTGCACTACCCAGTGATCTTCCTCTGAAGGACAGTTGTTGTTTCAATTAGTGTCTGTTCTGGAATTCTTCAGATATTTCCTTGTTTTTCAATGACCTGCAGAGCAGACTAAGTGTGGAAATGTTTCTAGGGACAATTCTAAAATATGCAAAGAAAAGTATAATGAATGCACTCTCAGCAGTAGCTGGGCTTTGAACCTGGTGCAAAGGTCTGTAGGTTTGAAGAAAGGCTTCTAAAAAGAAAGCGGTTTTGAACTGTAGCCTGAAATCGGTGACCATATGCAAAGAGAGCAGCTTAATGGCTTTTGAAAGCGTGCAGCAGGATTTCATGTATTCAGTAGAGATGTAATGTCTGCAGTCCTCACAAAGCCAGTGATTCTGATTGTGTGTGTGGTGTTCTGATTGAGAAGACCAACTGGATTATGTTGTGGAGTCAAGTTTGTCTCGAGTTTGCTGGGATACCGGGTTGGAAACATGGATCTTGTTATTTTTGTTTGAGTAGCAGAAGTATAATTAGCTCAGTGTTCAGTCACTTGCTGGTTGGGGGAGGGAAGAATTCATGCAGTAGTGTCTCAGGTTTTTGCTGATGTCTCGTGAAATGCTTTTCAGCTTACTGCAGCATCCTTTAATGCAGTTTTGAAGCAATATTGGCTAAGCTTACTCTTCTGTTGGATTTTCTGGTGTTGTTGTGGTTTGTGCCTTTGGTGGTTAGTGTAGAAAACTGGCTACTTTTGTGTAAATGGTGGTAGTGTGTGCTCCAGTGTGGCATGTTGGAGTTGGACTTGCAGCACAGGATCCTGGCCACAAAAGATCTGTGGTATCACCTGCTTCAAAGCTTCAGTATCTGTATCTTTTGGATTAGCCCTATTTCTTTAGTGGTTGGAATTCTGTTAGCTGTGCTCTGTGAGAGGAGAAAGATAGAGAAAGAGCAAGTCAGAAAGGAGTAGACTGGCCACTGCATTATTTTTGGTACATTCTATTTAGAATATCAAGGAAATCATCAGCATTTTCTGCAATAAAGATAGAAATAGCCTTTTGTCAACTTTATTTCCCTAGGTTTGACATCTTTAATCTTTTGAAAGAGAAGATATCTGTATTCGGCTACTGGATGGCAAATCTGTTTTGGTTTGTTTCATGGTCCTGTGACTCTGAAGGTTTATAGCTTCCTCTTTGCAGAAACTGCATCTCAGAACTCAAGAGGTCACTATACCCCATGTACTGTATTGGTACAGAATGAGCCAAACTTGGCTTGGGAAGAATTTTTTGCATATCAGTAAAGTAAAATGGTACTTCAAAGTATATCTATCCCACAGCAGAAAATTGGTATTTGTTTATGCAGAAGACACGGACCCTTCAGAACCCCAGTCTTCAGCCTCTTTTTATTAAAGAGAGTTGAGAAGCATCTCAGCACCTGCTGAATGACCTTTTCCCACCTACCATATTTTCACCTTATTTTATCAAAATCTCCCTGCCAAATGCTCAAGCCTTGACAAAGTTGTAGCTCACTGAATAAAGCTTGAGCTTTGCTTTTTCTGGGGCTTTCATAATAGACGTAGTTAGAATGTGATGTGTGTTGCCTGCCTTTCAGGTGCCCCTGCCCCACACCCTTCCCCTCCCTAGGAGGGAGACTCTACAACAGAGCTCCAGCCTAACTCCAGTTTCTCCCGCTACCGTCGACCTCACCCTCAAGGTATGTACCACATCCCTCTAAGGGTTGTTTTCTTGCATGCAGGGGAAAGTTAATGGAGAACTTGCTGGTAAACCTTTTTTTAGAGCCTTCCTTTGTTTCCTCTGCTGACTTGCTTCTGCATATAAACGGATGGCTGAAACACCAGACTATTAAAGGATGCATTTAAATTCTAAATCTCTAACCCCATTTTGCATTAACACTTGGCATCAACCAGTCTTGGCTCCCACTGCCCTGAAAAAGGATCCTAGCATTTTAGCATTGTACCATTGTGTTCATGACAAACCATCAGAATCTGACTGATTTTTTTTATGGTGTTTTTTTTTTTTTTTTTTTTTTGTATGTGGCAAGTTGCTTAGCTGGATATTAAAGGCTGCAAGGAGTTGCTTGGTAAGCCAAGCTTGATTTTCTTAGCAGTAAGATTTTGGTGCAGTGATACTGTGTTTTGAGTTGGATGGCTGAAGCTCCAAAAAATGCAAAGTAGGGTGGAGTGCTGGTGACTCTGAAAGGCAGCTCTATTCGCTAGTCAGAACATGCTTTGTGTAATAAATATTCTGCTGTTTTCTGCTCTTCAGTGTAGAGCAAGTGCATAGAATATTTTGAGTGGCATTTTGCCATTTTGATGGACTTTGGATTGTGTGTATTGTATAACTCACTAACATAGTATTGGTCTCTATTTTGCTACTGTACCTTTAGAAGTTGTTTGGTCTTTTTGGTGTGTGAGATCTGCTTTGCTATTGTGACTGCAGGTGATTGAACTAGTAGAAACGGTGTTCCTGCTTCTAGTATTGAGAGTGATGTTTGAAATTAGTTTCTGTAATTTACTTTTAAAAAAAAAACCGAACACTTGAAGCTAGGGATTGGATGCACAACTAACACTGGAGAAAGTTATTTGTCAGTCCTGGTGAGACTTCAGTCTTGCTGGCATGGTTTGACAGCTGCTTGCTCATACTCTCTATGGATGATAGTTATTAATGATCTCTTGTTGTCTTTGCTTTTCTTTTGTTAACACTTTTTTCCTGGGGAGAAAAAAATATAACATCATAGACACTTGGGCCAGCAAAATGGGGAGAGGGCTTGAGGAGGGACAAGTAAATTAACAAAACTCTGATTTTCAGTTGCATTCTTGTGTAACAAATTACCATAATCTGACTTTCTGGCGCCTGAAAGCATTTTTCTGAAGTAGCAGTCTCTAACTGTTTAGCAACTGGCCATCCAATCCACATGTAATAAGGTAGGATTGTTACCACAGCATGAAACCACAAGGAACATGACACTGCTCAGCCGCAGAGCAGACTACAGCGTTTGTTTATTTCATCCTGCAGTTTCTTGTTCTGTAGTTCTGGTGTCAGTGATTTGATTCATTTCTCAGTGGATGATAAATCTTGGATGTGTAGTAACAGAATACATTGAAGATCCATGTTTTAACGCTGCCTTGAAGTACAGTGATTAAAATCTGAATGGAAGGATGTTTGGAAACAGCTTTGTTTCTGTGTTCTCTGTTTCAGTTGCTGGAACGCTGTATCCTTCTTCCAAATGCTGAAGGCAGCAAGCTTGATTTGAGGTGTGCACTGAGGCTATCACTTCCACAAAAGGCTTTCTGACTCAGGGCAAAGCTGCTCTTTCTTACCTTATTTCGTATCATCCTTGCTTTTAAAAAAGCTCATTAAGAGCAACAGAAAACAAAGTATTTCCTTCCCTGCCTTAGAGCAAAGTCTCCAGGCTCTGCCTCCTTTCTCCAGCCACACCTGCTCCCAGTACTTTTTATCATTCTGCAAGAGTAGGTGCAAAAGGTGCTAGTCTGAGAGAGATTGAGAAATTTTTCCTTACACCAACTGTACTTTGCACAACTTTACACCTTTACTGAGGCAATAGTCCTCAAAGGACTTATCTGACGTGGCTATTTCTAGTTCAGGAGATGAGCAGAAGAAAGCCAAAGTCATCTCAAACTGAACTGCTTGGCCTGCTTCCACGTTCCAGAGTTCAACATAAAATTCCTGTGTAGTCACCTGAGTCTGGAATATGGCATCCTTTGAATTTCTTTTGTCTGTCACCTAAACTTTGGCATAGAGAAGCATGTGCGTGTACGTATTTGTCTCCAGTTAAGTTTGTAGGTAGTAAGTACTGGATTTTTAATTCAGTGTTGAGGCCCCAGTGGGTGAACCGTGAAGAAGCCGCCTCGAGCAGCCAGGGTCTTCAGCCTGTGCTCTCCCCTTCCCATGGCTGAGCAGTAAGCAAAATTGCAACACCTTCCCAAGTCTCTCTCAGTTTAGAGCTACTTCCTTCTTCATGTCTGGTCTCTAGATGGTGCTGCGTGGATACATGCATGTCAGTGTCTCTTCCATCCAGAGGTTGTTGAGGAGCTCTTTAAAAGCAAGGCTCAGATCTCTGTTAAATGCCATTTGTAGCAAATTGGTAGAGATATGGAATGACTTGAGAAATCTTGGTAGTGTCTAGGTTTGGAAGACAGAATTCGGTGTGTAGACTCCTGCTCTTGTTGTCACTAGTTTCTTCAGGGCATCATGAAACATGATGAATGTAGTAGATGCATTCTCCATTCAGATATCTACAAGCACTTTCCTCATTTTCTCATAGTACCAGTGCAGTGGTGTTCCACCTTATGCAAAATCCTTTCCAGCAGATTTATAATAAATTTTTATTTTTGTCCTATCTGCAAGAATGGGAACCAGTTTGGAGGACAGTGTTATAATGGGGGAACTAAACATAAGTTTAGTGACAGTCTCAGGAAGGAAAATAGATAAGTCACCTATCTTCAAATTGTTTGAGGTGCAATGAAGTTTCTTTCTCTCCCCTTTTACTCTTGAAGAATACAGAGCTGTAGCTACTTTATGGTTGTGTATCAGTTGTGTTAGCCACTTTTTTTTGTGTACTGCTTTGCTTTTTTTATCACTTTTGAAGCATCTAGCCAAATAATCCAAGTTCCCTTTGGCCTGTCCAGGCTCTGCCTAATGCGTTTTATTCAGGGTGGTTGAAAGTGTGACTTTCAGAGGCTGCAAATCCCAGTTAGGGCACTCTACTGATCCAGGCAGCGAGGCTGCTGGGGCTGTATTTGAACCTTTACAAAAACCTTTAAATGCAGCATCTGGCCTTGAGAAGCTTAGAGTCCTATAGATCAGGGATTTTAGCCTCTGGCATCCAACTGTGCACACAGTCTTTCCACTTCAACCTCTGGCTGTCCTCAGTTGTAGAGAGAAGTCTGTGGAGTTTGAGCGTTTGAATTTCTGGATGCAGTCTGAACACAAATGTTTTCAGTAGTCCCTTAGAAGTGTCTGAATTCAAAGATACAGCCTTATGAACCTGTTCTAGCAATGATGAGATTGTTGTTGACTGCAGTGGAACAGTAGTTCTTCTCACTTTTGGTGGAAGAGGATTGTGTCTAAAAATTGTAGTTTGCAGTTTCAACTTGCTGTGCAGTAGTGAAACGCACTGAAGGAGGAGGAATGTGAAGCATCTTTAGCTTTAACATAGAGCAGTATGCACAGGCTGTGTCAGGTTTGATAGCATTTTGAACAGCAGCTGATTTGGAAATGTGCACTTGGGTGCTCTTGGGTTTTCTAAAATGTATATTAGATTTGGTGGTCACTCAAAATATATGACTTAGCAAGAGAGCAAGGAGCTTCTTTGTTTAAAAGGTCCAATTAACTTAAAAGAAAAAGTCTTCCTGGAAATACTTGGATTCTTTTGTACCCTTCTTTTGCTTCCTGTGTCATTTGCTCTCCGTGTCAAATAAAAGTAAGCCAGATTAGTGTGAGTGAACTGTCTTTTGAGTACTCAGCATTAAGATGAACTGTGCACGTGTGCAGTTGGAACAGAAAAGAAGCTCCAACTTCAGGCCGTATGCTTTTTGCATGAACAGAGTTGCACGATTACGGCGATTTTTTTTTAAGAGGCTCGCATGAAGCCTGAGTTGCCTTTTGAACTAAAAATAACTGTTAAAAGAGGAAGGCTGTTGGACTGGCTGAATTTCCTAATAGATAAGGAGATTTGTTTTCTTTTTAAATAGATGGAGTCTGCGCGCAAAGCATGGGAGAATTCCCCAAACATGGGGGAGAAGAGTTCACCAGTGACCTCAGCAGCATCTCCCATAGCTGGTGGCAGCAGCAGCAACAGCAGCAGCAGCAACGCAGTGCCAAGCAGTGGTACTTACAGCTCTTTCTCTAGTGCATCAATGCCTCCTATTCCTGTGGCTTCTGTTACACCAACAACTTCACTATCAGGTACTGGGTGTTAAGATTGCAATGTACTGCTATATTGCCCTTTGTTTTGTGTTCCAAAAACTTAGGTTCCCTATAGAGATATGTTTAGTACAGAGCTGACAAATTTTGTGCAGGTGTGAAATGTCATATCTGAACAGTAGTTTCCCAGATACCTCTAATTAACAAAGAGATCCTTCCCCTATTGCACTTCAGTCAGCTAAAAAGAATACTGAAAAGACATCTTTCTGCTTATGCTACATATAAGGACTTGAAAGAGGATGTAAGCTTCTGTTGGCTGACATGTTAGTTTCATTTTGTTTATCTGAGTGAAGGGAGGCAAGTGGGATTTTTTTGGAACAGATGTCAGTTCTGGCAGCCACTCAGTTCCAGCAAGCAGGTTTACCTTCCAGCAAACTCTTCATCCAGATAGTTGCAGCATTAATTTCATTTGCAGTTTACTTTTAGAGCCAAGGCTTCAACAGCTGATACCGAGCCTCCCTTGCATTAGGGAGAGCAAATGCCCAACTGTTCTTCATGAACAGTGCTTGTTCCCATCCTTGTTTGTCAGAACCAAAAGATGCTACTTCCGATTAAGTCTTCACACCTAGGAGCGTTAGAATATATGTCAAAACCTCAGTGGATTAAAAAGAGCTTTTTTTGGAGCCAGGCTTTTGGGTCTTGAGGCACAATCACAGTACATTGTAGTATTATTAACTGAGATAACTACTTTGATATTTTTACGTTCTCCTGCGCTTGAGAAGGGAGAAGTACTATTATTGTAGCTCTTCCTGTAGTGAACCTAATAGAATTGTTCTTTCTACTCTCCATCTGCCTTACAGTGATGGAAATAGCTGCAGTAGATTGTGGTTTTCATTACCGATAGTGGCTGTGCTTGCATAGCTATACCAAACTCTGAGCACTGAAAGAGAGGAGGCTTTGGAGTGTCTTCAACTGGTTGATGATACACCACTTGCTTCTCTCCTTCTAGGAGCTGGAACATACACGACCTCTTCACTGAGTACAAAGACTGCAAGCACCTCGGACCCTCCCAATATATGTAAAGTGAAACCACAGCAGTTGCAGACAAGCAGCCTAGCTTCTGCAAGTCACTTTTCCCAGCTGAGCTGCATGCCATCCCTCATTGCCCAGCAACAGCAGAGTCCCCAGGTCTATGTGTCTCAGTCTGCAGCAGGTAATGGTGTTTGACTGAGAAACCACGTGTCTGCTTTTTTGGCATTCTGAAGCTTGAGAATTGAATTTCATTCTGAATTTATCTGTAGTAAAGGCAGAACGATGGAGAAGCTTTTATAAGCAGATATTCACTAATTATTTTAAGCTACATATGCAAGTCATATCAACAATGCTATGTTGTTAGCTTAGTGAGGAAAGTGAGTTTCTTGCTCTTTGATATACCACTTTTCTGTTCCAGAATTTTGAATCACTATTTAAGACAAAGAATGGCTTAGTTGGTGATTTTAATAAGGTGCCACAGTAGTTTATGGTAATGGCATTTTTTTCTTCAAAGAAAATTCTACATATAGTTAACCTAAATTACGTGAAGCATGTTCTTTCCCTGCCTTCATTAAAATGCCTCTTTCTGCCGGAATCTGTTTTGTCCCCAAAGAATAATACGGGTATCCAAAACTGATAGATTCTAATAGGGGTGAATGGATACCAAGGAAAAAATAGCACACTTATTATGCACCCAGCTGCTGCATTCAAACTCTGGTAGTTGTACTGGGAAGTACAGACAGTAGCTGCATCTCTAACTCTTGGTGAAAATTTGTCTAGCAAGGGAATGCTTGGAAGTTGATACTAATCGTATTTCTCCTCTTGAGGTACTGCAGCCCAAATTCCAGCTTTTTATATGGATACAAGTCACCTGTTCAACACCCAACATGCACGTCTGGCACCGCCTTCTTTGGCCCAACAGCAAGGCTTTCAACCAGGACTTTCTCAGGTATTTGGGGATTTTTTTCTTACTTTCTCCTCCATCCCAGCTCTGCTGATGGGCACATAGGGGCAGGCAAGAGTGGGAAGATTCTACAAGAAACAAAATCACACCTACTTTTACTTCTTCATACTGCTGCCTGTGGATGGTATTCAATCTCTCCTGCTCCTCTCCGTTCAAAAAAACAATTGTCATAAAAAGCTCTCACGGTGTACTTAATGCAAATGTGCATATTCACAAGGTGCCTGTATGATCATGTTAATGCAGGTTTATTCAATTTAATGGCTTCTTCTTTATGCAGCCTGCTTCAGTACAGCAGATCCCCATCCCCATCTATGCACCTCTGCAAGGGCAGCACCAAGCTCAGCTGAGTTTAGGAGCAGCACCAGCTGTGTCACAAGCCCAAGAGTTGTTCAACTCTTCTTTACAACCTTACAGGTAAGTAGCATGTGTGAATTTATTTGCTTTTTGGGTGGTGGAATTCATAGAACCCGCATCCTTGCAGGTATATTCTGTGTTCAGTGGCTACTTTATCTTTCCGTCTTTCCCTCCCAAAATCTTTAATCTGTTGATCCACATGAGAACTCCATACGCAGATTAGCTGGTTGGCATGTACAAGTGGAGCTGTGAAATTTTGGATTCAGAAGTTATCAGTGATATTTGTACCTTGAGGGAATCAGGCTAAAAAGCTGAAAACATAATCAATCTTAAATAATTTAAAAAAAAAAAGTGGTGGTGGGAGGGGAGAGAAGTCTGAGCCTCTAACTCAGCATTTTGTTCATTTGCTGATGAAACCAGCATTGGAATCTAGAAACAAACTTTGAAATCTTAATTTGAACTCCATAGGTAACCCCAGATGCATTGGGGATAGCAGATCACATTTTAGAATAAATGTTTTCTGTTTGCTACAGAAGTCAATCAGAAGATCAGTGTGTCTCAGATGGCATTGGATTTGTCTGCATATAAATCTGCATACAATTTTTCACTGTAAACTGTTCCAAAGCTTCCATGTTGTTCCCATCAAAACTTATTCACGGTGGTACTCTGACAAGCTTGGTTAGTTTCACTTGGAGAAAGTTTTTTTTGTGAAAGTAATGAGAGATTTTTGCCTGTGTGTAGAAAAGGCTGTTGCTTGTGATGTAGAAAGTCGAAGCCAAACTAAGTAGACATAGAGGAATCTCACATGTGTATCTTGAATCCCTTTAACCTTTAATCTCTCTCTATCCTGTGTACCAAGTGCTTTTTGTACTGGGTGAATCAGACCAAATATTGTTTGTCCTTCCAAAGCTGACAAAAATGGTTGCAAGCAATTGGCTAGCTGCAGAAACACAATCAGTCTGGCATGCAGTCCAGATTAAATAAATGCTTCTGCCTGTTCTAGTCATTCACACACCCAGTATTGATGGAGTTTTGGGGTGTGCTATCTGAGGGAACTAATACCTTCCCCACATCTTTAAAGACGTAGAGAAAGATGAGCTACAGGGGTTACTGGTTTAAAATAGATAAATAACTATGTAGGTAGATGCATATTTAAAACACATGAAAATGCCTCTACTTTGACAACAGTATTTGCATTCAATTTAGGAAAGTTTTTTTTTTTTTTTTTTTTCCAGTGCTTACAATTAAAATTGTACAACTATAAGAATGGTGTGTAACTTAAGATACAGACTGGAACTAACCTGGATGTTCTGTAAGGCAAGCAAGCACATACCAGGTTAATAGGGCTAGTGCTATGCTAGTACATATCAACCAAGTTCTTGGTGAAAGGCATTTTTACATGGAAAGCACTGTCCTTTGAGATAAGTTTAAGCAACTTTCAAAGCTCTTATTTGATTCTCCAATGTGAAGGTGGCTATTCAGCTGACTTAAGGGAGGAGTTTGAAGAAATACTTCCTGGTGGACTAAAACCACCTCTCTGTTGCAGTGCTTTGCTGTTCCTTGCTTTTGGCCTTTGTTTTTTAAACTGCAACTTTCCTATGGTGACGACAAAGCAATTTGGTTAAAATTAAAGGCTTTGGTGTCTATTTGTGTTCCAATTTTGAAGCCAGAGCATTCATTTGGAAAATACAATTGTCAACATCCAGTAACTTAACTTGTAAGTATTACAGGTCAGATTTTGGAGACCTATGAAGTCGAGAGTACAAAAGCAATTTGCTTTATGACTGAGTGGGGCTGCTAACGTGGTACTTTCACACTGACCTACCTTACAGTGCATGAACTAATAACCAGTAGTTAGTGTATATTACAGTTTGGTCAAATTATGAAAAAATACTTCAGCTTGGTGTGTATATGGGTATAAATAAAAAAAAGCCTGATTATTTTCATGCGGTCTTTAGTATCTCTTATTTTGCTGCCTGCAGAATAAAAACAAATCTTTCTCTAGTAAAAATTTGGCCAGTCAAGTTTTCTAATTGCGCTTAAACAATATAACTCGTGACTTTAAATTTCTGGTGGATCGTTGTTGAACTCATAGTTTTTATACATAATGCTCCAATCTATTGCAGGTCCCAGCAAGCTTTTATGCAAAGTGGTTTGTCTCAGCCATCACCAGTAGTTCTGTCTGGTACAGCCTTACACAACTTCCCAACAGTACAACACCAGGAACTTGCAAAGGCGCAGTCAAGCCTGGCATTTCAGCAGACTTCTAATACACAACCTATTCCAATCCTATATGAACATCAGCTTAGTCAAGCTTCAGGACTGGGAGGCTCTCAGCTTCTTGATACACACATTCTACAGGTAGGAAATATCAAAAATGAAAAACTTTTGCAGCATTTGATTAAAAAAAAAAAAGCAATAATAAAGTATTGCCTACTTCTGTAATAGTTACGTGATGGTTGTAGGTGGCAGAAAACTTCAGACGCTTGGAAGATAATGTTCTTTTAATTTCATAAATGTACATTATCTCTTAATTGAGGATTGTTCTCCAGAATATAGGAATCCTTGCACTTGTGTTACTATTGGAGCTCTTGGTCTGGTTTCGTTTATTGTAGGTGGCAAAGGACTATTCCACCATTTGCAAATAAGGGCTTTATTACAATCTGAAACATTCAGGTTTTCATAATTCTGTCCTGTTCTTTCTACTGTACTACTGTGTCACGATGCCTCAGTTTTAAGAGTTAAGTATTTTCTTAATCATTATATTAAGTATTATTAAGTTTATTGGAATTAAGTATTCTTAATGTTGTTTTTCACTCTTCCTAGGCCAGAGCTACACTCACCCAGGCTTCAAATCTGTATTCTGGGCAAGTTCAACAGCCTGGCCAGAGCAATTTCTACAACACTGCCCAGTCTCCCAGTGCTCTCCAGCAGGTAAACTATGGCATGGTAAATTTCCTAAATTGTATTCTTCTTAAAAGCATGTTGTTGGTGATGGTTTGGGTAGGTTATGGGAAAGGAGGTTTCAGAGAATCATTAATTCTTCTGAACCGCAAGAATTAAAAACTGATAGCTGTGGGGAGTTACTGCAGCAGCACTGCAAAATTGAGTTTTTGAGAAGCTGAATGACCTGCAAGTTCCTCGTGATAGTTTGCCTATAGTCACCTTCCAGTGACAAGCAAAGATGTAGTTTGCACAATGCTGTTGCTAACTGGCTGAGGCATGTGCTGCCTTCTTGGGTTCAAACATTGATGGAAAGAGCAGAGTAAACTGCAGAGGGCTTCGTGCAGCCCAGTTGTTAACACCCAAGTTTCACTGAGTTGAAAAGTCAGATCTGCCACATGTCAGAAATCAAATATAGAAAATAACTTAGAAGTGGGCAGATAAATGATCAAACAAGCAAAATAAGACAACCAGGTCAGTAACGTGCATCAGATTTGTAAAATGTGTGGAATTCTTTTGTGAAAGATCTGTTAATTTGCTTTGTGCAGGTATAGTCATATTTACAGCATGCTGTCTATTGGCTTTTATCTTCTTGTTCAAATTTTGATTTTTAAGTGGCTTTGGAGTGGGAGGGGGGGGGGGGGGGAAAACTATAGTAGGCTCCTTAATACACAAGAAGTTACCAAAACAGATGTCTAGAAAAGCATATTGAAAAATTGGGTCTCATCTTGAAAAATGGAGCATAGTTTTAAGGACCTTCTGGAAATGTTCATGTTTTACTGTGTTCAACTATGACTGTCTATACTTGAAATTTTTTTTATCATTCGGAGCAGAGCCTCGCTGAGTCTTTCACATCTGGAGATATCATATCATGCATAGTCTTGTAGTCACACAATATATTCTTTTCAGGTTTGAGACTGGTGGTCGAACTACTAAATGCAATTATTCCTGCCCATCAGGTCACTGTGGTATTCTCACATGCTTATCCACTGATCTTTAAGATCCCTTCCAGCCCAAACTACTCTGATTCCATAAGAGATTAAGCCATTTGCCCTGTATGTAACTGAAATCACAGAACTGGTAAAGGAAGTTAAATGATGTGTATATGTCACAGTGATTCTATACTTCTTTTTTCCCCCAGGTAACAGTACCTTTACCAGGATCACAACTTTCTTTGCCTAACTTTGGATCCACAGCACAGCCACTTATTGCCCTACCCCAGTCTTTACAACCACCACTACAGCACACACCACCTCAAGCACAGGCTCAAAATCTAAGCAGACCAGCACAAGTAACCCAGCCTTTCAGAGGATTAATCCCAGCAGGAACTCAGCACAGCATGATAGCTGCGACTGGAAAGGTATTTGTATGGATAAATCTGCAGTATAAAAATTAATATGAAGCATGGCTATTTGCTATTCTGTAGAACCAGCATGGCAACCTGTGATGACACTTGCATTTAAAAAACATACCTTGACCTTAAAAGTTAGAGAGGGGAAAACAGGGAAGCCAGCCAAGATTAGTCCCTTAGTGTCTGTGTGCATCTTGTGAAAGCTTAGATGAGTTTCATTTGTGGTTGGCTTGCGACTAGACAAATTGCACTGCAGGAAAACTTTGATAATGGCTTTGTGGGCTAGTAGAATACTTCATGTAGGGCACCATGTAGAAAACTGTACAGAAGGAATTGTTAAAGCATCATCACAGTGTCAGAGCTGGTTTTTTGTTCTGGACATGCTTCTGTCTGTCAGTGTTTGTTTCTAATCTGATACTGGAGCAAACTGAGTTTTCATTTGTGCTTCTGAACTGGCAATGTATTGATTGGATTGTAATGCTGCCACCTGCTGCATGAATTTATTCTGTCGTGTACCTGTTGCTCTAACAGGGTAGATGTAATCCTTACTAATACTGTCTTGTTCTCTGTGTAGATAAGTATCCCAGAGAATTCCTGTCAGTTAGCTGTGGTGAAAAACCTCTGGAGAAGCTTGTGTATGTGTGTGTAGATAATTCTAGAGACGGGAAGTTACCCTTCTACTTTTGTAAGGACATTAAAATCTCTTCTGCTCTTCGGTGTGAATCTAAGAGCGAATGGCATGGAAACTGCTCTTTCTGATGTAACGGACTGGAGTTTTAGGGACTTTGGTGGACTTTGTATTAGCTGTGACCTTAAAATAGGACTAAATTCTTCTGCTCTCTGAGGTTCTGCTTTTCTGAATAGCACCATAAGGTGCTATGAGAACACAGAACATAGTGTGCAAAGGTTGGTCTCACAGCAAAAGAAAACTTGCCTCAAGTGACAGCTCTAGCAAGGAGATAACACTGAAACAGTGCTGGAAACTTGAATACTACAAGGGAATTTTCTCCTTTGTGTGGAGCCTCTGTGGCAGTTGCTAGTAAAGAGAGATGTGAAGAGCTGCCATTCAATCATGAGGTCTCTTAGATGCAATTTCAGATTTGCAGGCACATGGGATTTTTGGATAGTGCACAGCACCACACACTTGTGACACTTTCAGGTGGCACTGTAACACTGTGCAGTACAATGAACACAGCCAAGCTTTCTGGCAGGTGTAGCAAGGTCTTTCCCTGGAGCAGGAAGTCATCTAGCTCTAGAGCTATGCTTGAAATACTTAGAGCTTGTGGCCTGGATTTCAGGGGGCAGTCACTATTGCTTCAGCAAGAAATGAGGAGGCTAAGGTGGGATGGTGGGATTTTCCCTTAGTTGCCTTTGCTGCCGTGTTAGGGGTTCCATCATATTCCTGCTAAAGGTAGCCAAATGAAAACAAAACCCACTTACATTTGACTTACTGTTGTTATTATGCTTTATAGGTGTGTGTGGAAGGATGCTGTTCCAGAGACTAATTTATTCTATTCACTGTATCTGCAAGATAACATGCAAGATTCATTGCTCCATTTATAGTCTGAGGATTTTCAATGTGAATGACTTCTTTGCTGTGCTTCTGAATTTTTTTTTGCTTGTTTTCTAGAACGTGCTCATTTTATTCAGCTCTTCTTTCAGCGTTTTTCAGAATTGTTGCTAAATATTTTCCTGTGTTTTCTGAGGTGGGAAAGAAAAGTTCAAACTACAAGTTTTTCTTTTATTGAATTGGGACATTAATTGCTGTGGTTTTCAGATATCAGAAATGGAACTGAAGGCATTTGGAGGTGGTATTGATGTTAAACCTGGAACACCACCAGTGTCTGGCAGAAGTACTACTCCAACATCCAGTCCCTTCCGGTAAATTTCTTTTCAAGTTCCAAATTCTTGAAATCAGATCTGGAAAATTTGCCTAGTCATACATGAGCAGCCAGCTTTGAAAAGCGTGGGATGAGGGGCTACTAATGCAAAATGCAGTGTTTAATCTGAGCTTAAAAGGAGCATGCTCTTAAGGTGTATGTCATCAGATCCCCACTGCATTCAGCCAGAAAAATAAAGCTTTAAAATAAGATATTAGTTCCATTTAGTTCCAAAATATTTTTAAAGAAATGAACTAAAAATGACCTAACAGACAGAACTGGGCAGAGAAAGATGTACTTTGGAGTAAAACTATCAAGACTGTTTAACTTCCCTGAGCATAATAATAACTGCAGTGTTGAAAGTTTAAGAAACAAAACTAAGAGCACCTGAGCAGCAGTTCTTGCAGCAGTTCTGTTATAGATTCTGCATCTTTGTTTCCTAAGCTCCTCATGATTGAAATTAAGTAGTTGGCAGGTTAACTTGGTTAATTGACAAAATGGATTAAATTCTCATATGCAGAATGTACCTCTTAGTGAACTTGCTGGAAAGCTTGTGTGTGAAGTTGAGTGGGCTGAAGGAACTTAAAAATGGAACTTTGGAGCAAGGTAGTTTTGTTCTTGAAAACTGCACTCCCATGCGTGGTAACTATATTTCATTGACTTTCAGTGCAGCAGGCTGAAAGCATCCAGGCTTTTCTAGTGAAGCAGGAATTAGTTTGAACTCCTGCATGCAGTCCTGAATTCTTGCCTGCAACATTTCACATACAAAAAAAAAGGAGTGAGGAAGACAATGGTCTGTGTCTTGTAGAAATGCCTCATGTAGAATCTGTGGGATGCAGCTGAAGCAAGATGTACCATAAGCTTTGGTGTTAAGTGTGGAGGTACTGGGAAGATGCAGGAAAACATAACAGAGCTCAAAAGTCCCAAGTTTGTGAAATGTTGTGTGGGCTGAGTGTAGCTGCCTTCCTTGTCACTGTTGTCCTGCTGCTCGATTCACGTTGTGTTTTGCCCACACCCTCTGCATGAGAGCTCTCTGCAAGTCAGCCTCCATTTTTGAAGAAAGCTGTTCACTCTTTCCTCCTCTGAGGAAAGTGTTGAGTGCCCTTCCCCCAGTGATCTTTCAAGCTTCATTTAATTCATGGTAATTCCTCGCATCTTAGAAGTTATAATGGAGGGACTCTCAGCCAAATAAAACACTAAGAGAGCAATTTCTGTAGAACTCTGGAAATTTGCTCAAATGCATCTTTAAAACATTTGCCAGCAGGTCAGAGTGGAAGCAGCTGCACATTGCAGTTTAATGCCTGTTGTGACAAGCTCAGAGCCCCAAAGCAGTGTGAAGGGGTAGCAGAAGTTAGCAGAGATGGGGAAGAGTACATGCTTTGTTAGAACTTGTATGGTAGTACTTTGAGGAGAGGTCTTTCATATAGACATTACCCTATAGCCTTTCCAAATCTTAAAAATTTCTCTTATGTTTTCTCTTTGTATTCTTAATAGCCTTAAGTTCTGCGTTTGTTTCAGTTTGGATTGAAAGTACATCCAGAAAAATCTGATACTAGTTTCTATAAGAGATTTCCCCTACTCCAGGCTGTCTTTTAAGTTGCAACTAATGATAGAAATATGCTTTGTTTGAGAGCAGAGTGATTCTAACTGTTGTTTTTCTTCAGGGCCAGTTCTACAAGTCCTAACAATCAGTCCAATAAAATGAACAGCATTGTCTACCAGAAGCAGTTCCAGTCAGCAGCTGCTGCTGTGAGAATGACCCAGCCATTTCCTGCACAGTTTGCACCACAGGTAGGCAGCTGGTGGCTTCCTGCAGGCAAATCTTGCCCTGTGTAACTCAGTGACTTCTCAACTTTGCTCTGTTTCTTCAGGTTTTATCACAGGGAGATGCACAATGAAATCCTTAAAAAAAAAAAAAAAAAAAAAAAAGGTGTAAAGAAACTGATTTCAAGATCAAGGCAAAAACACCTTCTGGTCTTGCTAACTAGTAGTGCAGATTTTGTGGTGGGTTTAATTGGAGAGTTCTGTGCGTGCCAAGGAATCTGGCAGTAGCTGTGAATGAGGTCAGTTCTTGTGCTGGCTTTCCAGGGAGCGCAGCTTTACAAGGGTGCTGCGTCCCGCTTGTGGGTGACTGTAGCCAGGCTGCTAGGGAGACATAGCCTCTGTTAAAATGTAGGATGTTTCTCTTCAGGCTTTAACATTTGAGTGTCTGACTGCAGAGCTTAAGGTTTGATTTTGTTTTTTGGATTGCAACTAGCAGAAACTACCTGGGCTTTTCAGCACTGCATTTCTCTAGTGACTTCACCGCCTTGCCTGAGTCTTCTTCCTTATTATTTACAATGTCTAAGTTGTCAGTAAAACTTGAAGGCACAGCAGCACTGTAGTGCTGTTTTGTCCTGGAATTTAAGCATGGCCTCTCAGCATAAAGGCCTGTCACTTTGACAGCAGAGCAGGCGTTGTTTTTTTTCCCCTATAAGATGATGCCAACGTGCAATCTAGTTGGCAGTTTTCTAATTGTTAAATGTCTCTTTTTGTTGTTTTTCCCCCACTTAGATCCTCTCTCAGCCTAACCTGCTCCCTCCATTGGTAAGAGCCCCATATACTAACACCTTCCCAGCGCCTGTTCAGAGGCTGCCAATAGTACTGCATAGTCAGATGCCGTCTCAGATGATCACAGGCCTTATGAGCCACCCTCGCTTACCGCATGTGGCCAGAGGTCTTTGTGGATCAGTGTCTGGAGCCAGAGGCAGTCAGGCCCAGGCTGCGATGAAGGCTGAACAAGACATGAAGGTTAGTATTTGAACTGCAGTGCTGCTAACACCAGTTCAGTCTTGACGGCTTGTAGGGCAGGAATGTGTCTGCAAATCATGTCTTAATTCAGATGCCTCTGGGGCACAAGCCAGTAGCCGGGCCTCCAATAGCTGAACATAGAACTTTTCTAAACCTTGTTTTGTTTTCGTTTTTCTATTAATAAGAACTTGAGACTAAAAAAATGATTAGGGAGCTTCCTTTCTCAAGTGGTCCTGTGGTGAGTGGCTGTGAAGCAGCTGCCGCTGCCCAAGGCAATCTGACAACTGGATTTTTGAACGAGCGATGAAGCCCATGAACTCGAGTGCTAGCTGTCATTTCTCATCTCCCCCAGCTCTGAGCACTGGTATGAACCCTCCTGTCCCAGCCAGCCCTGCTTCTAGCTTATTCTGCTAATTCTTTTCCTGGTGAGTTGCAGTGTCTGTGATAAGTCTCTCTGACAGAATGCAGTGATGTGGTACGCTCTGCAGAAGAGGTGGCTGTGTTTTGGTAGTAGGCAATGAGTCATGTATCTTGTTAGAGTGCTTTGGGACCCTTAAGGGTAAGGCAAGCTCTTCTTACAAGGCAGAGACTGCAGTACAAGGGTTCTGCATAGAGGTACTGTACGCTTAGCTCATCTACCTGTATTGTGCAGAATAAGTTGCTTATGTGGATGGATGGTGCCAAGGAGCTCCCTTACGTGCTGTCATTGGCCACAACTCATGTGGGGAGGTATAAAGTAAAAGAGGATGCTTTTTCTGGTGACATCTGGTTGTAGGAGTTGGTTGTCCCCCTTTAAATAGGCCAAATATCTAGAATTTTTCTACCACCAGTTGATGCCACTTGGAAACCTAACAAATGATGTTTTCAGGGTATTGTCTTGAGTCTGTATTGCAAACTGGATCTAACCTGTCATAGCAAATACAGACATGCAGTCCTGGCTTTCTGAATCTCCTTGCAAGTGCTGTACAGAAGAATGTAAGTTATTTTGTCACACTTGGTTGCCTGCGATCAAATCATCCAGCTTTTTAGCCTTAACCTCAGGGGATATCTGAAATTGCACAGAGGATTTCAGGTGTCTGTCTGGCTTCAGTAAAACCAGACTGTAGTTGCAGTTTAGCATGCCAGAGTTCACAGGTCTGTTTTCTATTCTGTTACTGGTTTGGCTACTTGAAGCAACTAGACATTATCAAAACCAGGACCTCATGTTCTGGGCTTTGTCTATTTTTTCTCTCCAATTTTCTGTAAAATACTTAAAATACGGAGAGGTACATGGGTTTTGGTTGTCTGTGTTGTGGTTGGGGTTCCTTGTATAAAATAGGTCTTATTTTAAAAAGGCATTTAACTGCTTCCGGAAGGTTTAACTGGTAGCGCAGCTCCTGCTTTAAGCAAGTCTGGGATGGAGAGGAGAGCCAAGTTCTTGGTTTGTGAAGCACAGCTTCTTTTGTTTGTGTGCACAGCTCTTCACTGACATGTGGAAGGTCCAGCGTAAGACTGCAGCTTTAACACTTGATCATGAAGGCTGAACTTAACAAGTGCAAGCTGAGGTTACTGGTGGGATCAGGAGGGATTTGGAGAAAGCCAGGCGATGGTTTGTGCTTCCCAGGATGAGAACCTGCTTTGAGTTGGAAGCAGGTACAGCTTCAGCTACATGTAGCACAGATTTGAGGCAGGTTCAGTTGCATTGGCATTGCAGGCTCCGAAATCTGTGTCCAGAGCAGCAGGGGGAAAATTTGGCTGCTCAGAGACTCTGCTTCTCTCCCCCCGCCCCGTGCTCTGAGCTTCCTGAGCGCAGGGACTGGATGAAGGACAGCTGGTGTAACCCTCAGTGCTTGTGTGGCTGGGTAGTGTCGGAGCTCGGATGTGTTCTGCCCCTGTCTGACACTGTGCAATGAAACTTCAGTTTGTTTGTACTCTTTCAGGGCTGTATGTACTTTTGGGCTCTGTAATGCTAGTTAGCAACATAAAAAGATGTGAGATAATGATTGAAACTTGTTCTTGGTTCTCTCTTGTGGATGTGAGGATTATGAAGAGCAAGGGAAGCCGAGGCACAATGTTACACTGCTGCTGAGGAGCCAGGTGCCCTGGTTGCCCATGTGTTGGTATCTGGGAAGGAACTGGATTGACACTGCCCTTCTGGCAAAGCCTGGCCAGGTGGTCAGTCCTTTCATTTAGGAATTACTTTTGTGAAGTCGCTTTTATTCCTGTACCCATCTCTTCAGTAAATGTATTTTCTCCCTTTCTTAAGGCAAAGCAGAGAGCAGAGGTACTTCAGTCCACCCAGAGATTCTTTTCTGAGCAGCAGCAGAGCAAACCAATAGGAGGCAAAGCGCAAAAAGTGGATGAGAATGGGAGCAAACCCTCCGAGGCAATTGCTGACTCTTCAGGAGTCTGCCAGGACAAAGCAGAGGAGAAGCCTGCCCCCGCACCTCCTGCAGCAACAAAGCCTGTTAGAACTGGACCAATCAAACCTCAGGCAATCAAAACTGAAGAAACAAAATCTTAGAGGCTGTATTTCCTTGGAGGTGGGAGGGGAGAGGGAAGGATGGGGGAGATGGCGGCAGCAGCATGAATTTGTAGCCCCAAGGATGAGACAGCAGTCCTCTCTCCCTGCAGGGCTCTTAACTGCATAAAGGGACATAAAAGCTGTCAGCAGTTATGAATTTAAACTGCTGTGTATCCAGCCAAGCTTTCTAGGCTCTTTGGGCTTATTATTTCCTGTGACAGCATGAAGACCGCTTTCGATAGTGTGCACGTTTTACACGTGTGCGCATGTTTTGGCTTACACACCTAAATGCTTCCCAGCCTGAGAGCTGAGAAACAGCACAGCGAGGAGGAAGGCGGTTGGGGAGGCATGTTCCTAGCTGACTAGATGAATACTCTTACTTTCTTCTGATCTTCAGCTGCTATTTATCTTTTTATAAACTCATGAGTATGAGAACATGCAGATCTGAAAATGGTGCTGGGCCAAGTAACGTGCATTAAGTTTGTAGTGAATAGAGGAGCTCCCGTGTTGTACTAAACAGAGGAATTCACATAGCTGGCAGAATCACCTTTACTGTGTGACGTGTAACGTCGCACAAAGGCTAACGTGGCAGTGTTGAATTCCCTCTGAAGGCAGTGCTTTGCTGGCTGCTGCTTCTTGGATGACAATATACTGTATTTAGATCACAATATGAAAATGCTACTTGGCCACCTGTGTTCTCTACACCCACTCCCTCAGTTGTTCACCTCTGGAGTTGAAAGGTTAATTGCATCAATAGTCCCAGTTACTCTGTTCACCTCTGTCCAGCTATCTTTATATGAAGCGAGTGATCTTTAAACGGTTTCCAGCTTATGTCTGTATACAGCGATGAGCACTTAGAGCTGTGCCACAAGAATAAAAGAAACCTTGTTGGATTAAAGAGAATCTTATCTAAAAGGTGCATTCTTTATATCGGAGCTGCGTCTCACCATTTCCCTGCCCACAGTGTGCTGGAACGTAGAATCAAGTCAGATAATGCCTTTTTAATTGTATCCTCTAGTATTATAGCTGTAGGACAGTACTGTATGATACTTCTGTGAATGTAAGATATCCTGTACCTGCTTATGATATGTAGTAGTGACTGTGCTATACTGGAGCTGTTTTTAATAATGTTATTCTAGAGGTTTTTTTCCAGACAATGATTGAAAAGCTAATAAAAAGCACCAGGTACCACATCAGTAGCAGAACTTGCTGGTTTTTTTCTGGGATTTTTTTTGTTACTTTTTTTTTTTTTGAAAGAAGAGTGAGTTGAAAGTCTAATGTGTATAATTTTGTTCAGATGACTGCAGAAGCTGGAGAGGCTGTTGCTGCTATTGATGCCTAGTGAATTGCTCTTGGTTATCTTTTTATATAAATATATATATAATTTGAATTTTTGGAAACTTTAGCTGTGATGTCAACTTCAGAAAAAAAAAAAGTATCCCACTTGTAGTGTGAGTTGGCATTGTACAGAAATTAACAGCCATATTGGTCTAGAAATGTTAAACTTAATTTTTTTTCCATTTGTACAGGGGTAACGCACTGTATTAAAAATATGTACGGTCTTATTTACATGGGTTTGATTACAGAAACTAATAAAGTATTCTCTAAATAAAGTATCCTGGTAATCTCATGATTAGCAAAGTGCTGCAGGATGTGAGGAGAGAGCCCAAACGTCACGTGCCAGGCGAAGAGTGCATTCTGCAGCTTGGGAAAGCAGAAGGGCCAGAGAGAAACTGAGTTTGAAACGGCTCTTTGGGTGGCTTCCTTCTGCTCTTACTGCTCCTGATCCTGCTCTCCAGTGAAGATCTCAGGTGACGTGGCTTCCATGGAGCTCTGCAAGGAGCCTGCTGTTTGCATCTGCAGGACGTGATGTCGCTGGTGAGCTGCTCAGTGGTAGAGACTCGTGATGCTTTGCTTGGAGAAGATCTGCTTGTCATAGGAGACCTGGATTTAGCCAGCTGGCTGTTCTCACCTCAGCTGGTGCTGAAAGCAAGATGTGCCCCTTTCCTGCAGGGGGAAGTGCTCCCAAGGAAGCAGGGAGCTTCCCACTGCTGCGGGGCCAGAAGGAAACAAAACGGCCAAGCACCAAACGCAAAGCACCACACGAACCCACCAGTTCACACCATCCAATTACTGACCTTTATCTGAAGCACAGGTGTTAGTGAGGGGCTGAACACCTAAGCAGCCCTTCAGCTGCAGGGCATTGCTGAGCAGAGTAGCTGGAGGCGCAGTATCAGGGGAAGGCAGTTGCTCCCTGCTGGCCACCAGATGGTACACTGTGCATAGCAGAGTCCGGTGCCTTTTTTCCCCATTTCTGCCTCGGGGCACAGAAACAATCCTGCCCTGAGAAAAGGAGCTGGTTAGCTCTATCTCTCCAAAGGGCAGGCACGGGAAAGAGCTGTGCTGCTATTGGGTGAGCGGCGGCAGGCTGGGGCTGTGCTTTGGGGGCAGCGCAGGAGTCTGTCCTGCTGTGTCAGTTCTTCCAGGGGCTTTCAGTGATGGATTGGATCAAGGTGCTGTAAGCTGCAGCCGGAGCCATGTGCAGAAGTAACTCCTGAGTAGGTAACACTGCAGATGAAGTGCTGCTTTTATGGGAGGACAAGCACAGCTATAGTAAGCACTTGGGAAGATGAGGAAGAAGGTGGGAGAAATGAGTGCCTGTTTCCTGCTGGCTCGTTTTGGAGGGACTCTAAAGCTGGGAAAGTAGTTCACTGAGCTATTGTATTTCAGGGGAATTCTGAAGAAATTAATCTTCAGTTCTCTAATAAAGCCACTGGAAAAACCAGTTCGATTTCCCCAAATCAGCAGTGGGAACGTGCTAAACTTTTTGATGCTGCTGAGCAGAACAAGGGCAGTATTTCTGTTAGAACCTAATCAAAAAACAAACATTGGGGAGTTCAGCGTGCTATTTTGAGGTATGCTTTCCAAAATAGCCTGGGCCCTCCTTCCTTGCCTTTGAGGGCAGGTGAAGCATGCAGAGATTCCCTTCTGGGCTTTTTGTCTTGGAGTGGGGTTTGGTGTGTAATCTCAGCTCTAGGGTTCTCTGGCTGTCAGGATCAATTGCATTGGAAGTCCTATGAATTGGGAAGCTATTTCATTTGGAGAACTCACTGTTTTTTTAATTAGGACATGTCCTGTTCTGAAAGACAGGAGCAGAGGGGTTGGTGTGAGTGGGGCCGGAGCCAGCAGCTCTGCTCAGCTCAATCTTTCTACTGGGCTTTGGGAGGGGAGGGAATCTCTGTGCTTGCTTTGAATAGCGTGCTAAGTCAATCTGTGTATTTACTGCTGCTCAGCTCAAGCCTGGCTTTCTGGAAATCCTGTGTACCTTGGCTCGTCTTCATTTATTTTCTTAGTCAATTAAATGACGGACTTCCCAGCCTGAAAAGCCCCCGGTGCTGGCATGGAATGGGAGGCCTGAATTCCTGGGCTCAGTCCGTCTGCTCCTTGTGCTGTTCCCTGAGCTCCACAGCGCATGGGAACAAACCATCCCTTCATCCCAGTGGGGAGGAGCAAGCACACATGGGCCCCTCCACCCCAACTCTGTGGTCCTGAGCTCCTGCAATGCCTCTCACCTCAGCTTTGGGGACATCGAGTGGTGTCCCGTCCCTGCAGACAGCCAAAGTCAGGCTGGATGGGCTCTGAGCACCTGATGGAGCTGTGGGTGTCCCCGTTCATCACAGGGGAGTGGGACCTGATGGCCTTTAAGGGTCCCTTCCACCTCAGTTCTATCTCCATCAGGTCATTCATCCCCAGGATGGGTTTCAGAGTGAGGCAGAGGGCTGACCTAGAGGTGCGGACAGCAGTTCCCAAGGCCAGGAGTGCTGTGATGGACTGAAGTTTATTGCTGGCAGCTGTGCCTATACTGCATCCCCTCACCCTGCTGGCCCAGCTCTCGGCCCTCATACAGCGCCCAGCAGGTGTGCAGGGCAGGCATGGGGCTGCGGTCGATGGCGGAGTTGTTGCACTGCGCTGTTGGGAGCCACGGGAAGGCCTCAGCCCTGGGCTCAGCTTCTCTCAGGGTGGCAGTGGGCTGCTCTTCGATGCAGGTCTGTGTATGGAGCCGGGCGTTCCACAGCACGCAGGTGTTGCAGGCCTCAAAGCACTCGGGCTCCATGGAGGGGGCAATGGAGGCTCCCGGCTCCTTCTGAAGGTCTGGCTCCTCATCCCTGGAGAAGATGGCGTAGCTGACGGAGAGTGGGGGGATGTGCTGCCGGTCCACCTCGCCGTAGTCCTGCAGTGAAGTGGCTGCCAGCCCTGGGGTGGCACAGAGGTGGCGGGAGCTGCAGGATATGGCCTCCCCAGGCTTGGACACCATGCAGAGGGAGCTGAGGCATCTCAACGCGACAGAGGCTTGCTGCAGGTCACGGGACTCTGAGCTACTTTCAGGCTTCATCATGGTGATGACGTGGGCACATCACTGCCGGGGGGACACCTTTGCCTGCACTGTTCTGCTATGCCCCAGCCCCACTGCAGGCCTGCGGGAGGAAAAGGGCACTCAGAGCCTCCAGGAGCCTGCCTGCAGCCAGAGGGGCAGCAAGTGCTGACACTTGTTGGGATGTATCCCATCCCTTGTGGGCCCTTAAGGCAGAGCCCCCCACCCCAGGTGTTTTGCCAGGTGCTTTGGCCCCCAGCCCTCTGCACTCACCGGCATTGCAGGACGTGTGTGCTGCCTGGTTGTAGGAGTCACGTTGCCTTGGTGCCTGTGGCATCCCCTTGTCCACTGCCATTCTAGAATGGGACCGTGCTCTTGTCCCCCACCCTGGGGGTGGCAGCAGATGACCAGCACTGCTCAGCAAGGACAGAACACGGCACACTCCCGTCCCCCAAACCTGCCCCCCACCAGTCCCAAACTTGCCCCCTGCACCTTGTAATACTTTTATTAAGCAAATCTCCAGCTTGGTTAGCAGTTGAAACTCAGACATTTGTTCTGATTTAGTACTGCAGCATTTATTGGAGCGTCTCCCCAAGCTGAGGGGGTAGCAAGACTCCTACAGCCTTTCTACAATAAATAGTGATAACTGTGGGCTCTGAAAGCAGCATGGGAGAAAGCTGCTGGCGAGGCGAGGTGAGAAGAGGCCAGATGGGATAGGGGCAGTGCAGGGGATCCTGGGCAACAGAGGGCCAGCATGGCTGAAGGTGCCCCCTCACCAGTCCCACTGTCCCAGCAGGAAGGCAGCCAGCAGCCTGCCCATCTGAGCCCTGCCCGCTCCCAGCTCTGGGCTGGGAGGATGCTGGCGCAGGGTTGGGAACCACCAGCACCCACTCAGACCCACAAAGGCCAGACAGGGACGTGTCCACCGGCACAGCTCAGCCCTGGAGAAGCGCTTTGTTTCATGGAGCACAAAGGGATTTCTTCGCAGGAGGCGTCAGCAGGAGGCCGGGGGCCGGTCGGCGCTCAGGCGTGGGCAAGGCGCACAGGGTAGGCCACCATGTTGTAGCTGTCCCAGGCAAAGAGCCGCCGCTCCGCCGGGTTGTAGTCCACCATGCTGAGGTACTGGAAGCGGTTCTCGAAGGGGATGCTGAGGCTGCGGCTGGTACTGGTGGTCGTGTCGTAGGCAAAGTTGACGGTGGCATTGGGTGCAGAGTAGCTACTGACAGTGTACAGAGTCCCGCAGATGATGAAGGAGTTGGCCACCGACTGCTTGCGGATGTTGGTCTCCCAGGTGCGCCGGATCTCCAGCGTCTCAGGGTCCAGCTTGGAGAGGACGATGGCTCCCTTGGCCTTCTCGGTACTGTACACCACCCACAGCCCGGTCTCATCCACCGCCAGGTCGATGTCAGTGTAGCCACCCCACGAGTAGGGATACTGCCCATGGTAGCCAGCACCAGGCAGCTCCCGCTCGGCAGAGATGGCCTCAGCCCGCAGGTCGTAGCGAGCCAGCGCGCGGGAGCGGCGCGGCTGGAAGAAGAGCCCGCCACGATAGACGACAGCCCCGGTGCTCTCCAGGGGCCGTGGCAGGACGTGCACCTTGGCGGGATAGCCACGGGCCAGCTGCTCGGCCGCCTCGTACTGGAAGAGCTGGCGCACCTCCGTGCCCACCGTGTCCACGCGCCATGTGGTCTCCCGCGTGAAGGGCGCCACGGGCTCGGGGTCCTTCATCCACACCCCGTATTTGCCGGCAATGGTGTCGGCCCGGCCCAGCACCACCGGCTCCCCCACCCATGCCAGCTCGCCGCAGCCTGTGGGGACAGCAGGAGGGATGCATTAGGGCCGTGGTCACGCGGGACCCCGGGGCTCCCCCAGCCCCAGTTCTCCCCGATTCCCCACACCACTGCCCCAAGGCCCCCCAGCCCAGTCCCAGGGCTGTACCCGAGTCCTCAGCTCGCGGGCGGCCGAGCGCCGTCTCCTCCAGCAGCCGAGATGCAGGGAGCTCCGTCCTCTCCGACTTCAGCTCCTGGTAGCTGAGGGGCTCCGGTTCCCACCTGGAGGCTGCGGGGGGTCCAGGCAGCCAGGTGAACCCCAGCACCGAGCCCCCACCCCCCAAAAATGCTAACGTCTTTCTCAGGAGCCTGGTGCCCCGAGCTGGGGCACATCGGTGACCCAGGGCTGAAGGACACTGCCGACCGCGTCGTTCCCTCCCCAGGAGTTTTATTTCCCTTGGGTGGAATCCCAGGGACCCCAGATTCACGTGGTCCTCCCCACGCCGAGGTGACCAGCAAACAGCCCAGGTATGGAGATGGGAAGAGGGTCCGGGGGTCCCCAGGCCAGGCGCTGTTCCTTACAGTGGGTGGGCACTGTTCTAAGGGGCGAAAGCAGATGCCCCAGGTGGGAGCACGGGCTGCAGGGTGGAGCAGGGGGACAAAGGGACCCGATGGTGTGGGGAGGATGTAGGATTTGGGGTGAGGAAGGGATGCCCACAGATTCCCATCCCCCAGCACTGACCTTTGCTGGCAGAGCGCGGGGCGTCGCGGCCAGGCACCCCGCCTGTGCCGGAGGGGCAGCGGGTGGCTCTGAGCCGGGCGATCTCCTGGGCGCTGCTCTCCAGCCGCCGGCCCAGCTCCTCTTTCTCCCTCTCCAACCTCCCCTTCTCCTCCTCCAGCCGCTCCTTGGCCCGCTGCAGCTCCTCGCAGCCCCCCGGGGCCGCTCGCTGAGGGCCTCGCGACCACACGCCACTCACATCAGCCCCCCTCGGCCCCGAGCCCCCCAAACCTCCCGCTCCCTCCAGGCGGTTCAGACGGGCGGTGAGCGCGGCCAGCTCCTCGCGCAGCTGGGCTACGCCGCCAGCCTCGGGGCAGCTGGCCTCGCCGGGGCTGGCTACCGTGAAGCTGTAGGTACATCGCCCGCTGGCATCGTTGCCGCGCCGCAGCAGGGCCGCGGGGTCCCCGCTAGCGCTCAGGGCGAGGCCCCCCGCCAGCAGCAGCGGCAGCCAAGCACCCGGCATGGTCCCTCTCACTGCCCCGCGCAGCTCGCCCGCCTTTATAGGGCCGCGGGAACCTTCCAGATCCCCGCGCTCCCCCCGTGCCGCCCGCTGGCAAAGCTCCGGCAGCGTGCGGTGGCCGACGCCAAAATATTTGCGCGGCCGCGTGCCAGGGCTGCGGCGGGGAGGCGAGACCGGGGCCGGGGCGGCGGGGACCCCCGGGGGACCCCGGGCGCCGTACGGGGGGGCTCCGCGCCGCGCCATTCCCCGGCACCGGGGCCGCTCCCCGCACCGCCCCCCGTGGCGGCGCCGCTCCTGCCGGCGCCCATCGTCAGCTCGGGGCCGCGCGGCTGCCGGGCACGGGGGTCCCACAGCGCGCTTTTGTGAGTTGGAGAGGGGGAAGAAAAAGCAGGTGGAGAAGCGCCGAGGGGGAACGAGCCGGGGCCGGGAGGTGGAAATTTCCCCGCTGCGGAACGTTGGGTGCAGTTGGGCGCGGGGTGGGGCCGCACGCGGCTAGCCGGGCAGCGCTCCCGGGACCCCGTCGGCGGGCATCCCGCAGGCCGCGCCCACGACCGCAGGCCACGCCCACGACCGCAGGCCACGCCCCTCCCGCCCGCGGTGGATCGCTCGGCTCTCGGCGGAGCGCAGAGCGGTCGATGGCGCAGCCCGGTTCCCGTCGCGGCGGCCATTTGCCGCCGGCCCGGCGCGCAGCCCGCTGAGGGGCCGTGCTCGTCCTCCAGGCGCTCCTCCCGGCCCCCTCCGCCGGCGGGGATCATGCCGCCCAAGTTCAAGCGGCACCTGAACGACGACGAGGTGACGGGCTCGGTGAAGAGCGAGCGGGTGAGTGCGGCCGGGCTCGCCGCGCTCCGCAGCGCCTGCAGCTTCGGCTCAGCCTGCGGGCGGAAGGGCCGAAGCGCGGCGTGCCGCGCAGGGCTGGCCGGGTGCTGCCGCGCGGTGCTCCTTATGTCTGCTGTCACCGCAGTCGGTGGTGGCCCCGTGTTACCGCGTGCCTGCGATGCTCGGGGCGGTTGGTCACGGCATGGCACTGCGCGTCACCCCTTGGGCCCAGAGCGCTTCCGTAGCTGGCCCGGGTGTGGATTCTGCCCGCTGTGTTGCAGTGCTGCCTGCTGCTGTGTCGTAGGGTGCGTTACTGGCACACGGGGTCAGGATCTGAACCTGCACAGACAGACCAGTTGGTAGAAATGCACTTTGGTTTATGAACGGTGCTGTAAGTGTTGCCCAGCTGTGGTTCAGGACATCGGTCTGTGCTTTGCAGAGCTGGCAAACGCCTCCTGGGTGCTCTGACTGCATGGAGGCATCTCTGCAGGGGGGAAACAGCACAGCTATCCAAAAAGTAGCACTGGTATTCTCACGAGAGGGCTCACCAGTGCCCTGTGCTTAGAAGATGCTGGTGGTGTCTTGAAGTCTGGAAGGTCGTGTGAAATGGCGGATATTGATGGTGCTTTTCTTTGTTCACAGAGGAACCTTTTAGAGGAGGATTCAGATGAAGAGGAAGACTTTTTCTTGTGAGTTTCTGAACAGATGTAGGGCATATGATATTTTAGCTGCCTAAAGCACTAAGACTGGTAGTGCTAAATACCAAGAGTTGCTCCCTGACAAATAGGTGGGAGCTTGCACCCTTATTTCCTTTGAGGATACAGAGAGCTGATGGAGAAGGTCCAGAGGAGGGCCATGAAGATGATCAGGGGACTGGAGCAGCTCCCCTGCAAAGACAGGCTGAGGGAGCTGGGCTTGTTCAGCCTGGAGAAAAGAAGGCTGCGGGGTGACCTCATTGCAGCCTTTCAGTACCTAAAGGGAGCCTACAAACAGGAGGGGAGTCAACTCTTTGAAAGGGTAGATAACTGCAGGATGAGGGGAAATGGTTTTAAGTTGAGGGAGGGGAGATTTAGGTTGGATGTCAGGGGGAAGCTCTTTACCATGGCAGTGGTGAGGTGCTGGAACAGCTGCCCAGAGAGGTTGTGGATGCCCCATCCCTGAGGTGTTCAAGGCCAGGTTGGATGGGGCCCTGTGCAGCCTGGTGTAGTATGAAATGGGGAGGTTGGTGGCCCTGCATGTGGCAGGGGGTTTGGAGATGCATGATCCTTGAGGTCCCTTCCAACCCTGGCCATTCTGCGATTTGCCAGAGCCTTGAAAGAAGAAATGTGACCTGTAGGAAACTGTGGTGCTCCATATGTTGAGGGACATGAGAGGAATGGGTGGGAGGCAGGAGAACCAGAAAATACTGGTTCCCTATTGTGTATCTTAGGTCTTTGATTTAAATGCATGTTTCATTGCATCTGCTATCATAATTCATGTCTTTTTCTATTGCAGGAGAGGGCCTTCCGGACCAAGATTTGGACCCAGAAATGACAAGATCAGGCAGTAAGTTCGTGTTCCTCTGTGTCGTTCAAGTAATACTTTATGCTGACATTACAAACTCCCGCTGCTCTGCTAACAGGGTATTTTTCTGTAGTTCTCAACAGGAATGTGGCTTGTGCTTTGTTTCACCTGATTGTAATTTCACATCCCACCTGTCCATAGATAAGGAAAATCGAGTTTGTGTCAAGTTATCAAGGAATTGTGCTTTAATAGCAGCAGAGGGGTAGAACTTTATCACAGCAGCATGGTGGAATTTCCAAAGCGCATGCTATATTTTAGTGATAATGTGGTAGAGGTGACCTGGAGATGAGCTGTGACTCAGTGGAGTTGAAGCAGCTGGAGAAACAGGAACCCTTTACAGCTGGAGCAGGATTATTGGCTATAACAGGGCAAGAAGAAGGGAGGAACACTGAATCCTCCAAGTGAGTCATTTCCTGGGTGATGCTTGTTCTGGGCTCTGATTAGCTCTGCTCTTTCCTAAAAGGGAAGTGATGGTGATACTTAATGGGAAGGACAGGGTACTTACAGGCCCTGTTTTGTGCTGTGTTGTTGCCTTTGCTGGCCTCCACAAAGGCAGAACAGAAGTCAGACTGATGACCACACATTGATCAGTTGGGTTGTTTTGTTTGTAGCCTTGGAGTTACTCTTCATTAGGAATGTTTTTTTTCATGCCAGGAAGCAGGCAGTGCATCTCTGAGATGAGTCATTGGGAGCTAGTGTAAAATAGGCTCTTCTAGGTGAGACTTAATTAGGGAGAACTCTGAGTTTTACAAGCCCGCAGTGAAGTGATTTAATAATGATATTTTAGGAGTTTGTGGATTTGAATTGAAATTCCTAACCAAAGGAGGCAAATGGATCTTTTCAGTCCAAAAAGCAAAGTTATTTAGGTCTAAGCAGGTTGGTTTGGCGGGGTTTGTTAGCACAAACATGTGGGTAGGGGTTGTTGTTTTGTTGTTGTTTTTATCTTTACGTGGAAATGGGCAGCTAATAAAATTCATCTTGGCTCCTTCTGTTCGTGTTCTCTGCCCCTACGGTTCATTCACGGTCACTGGAGAGCAGTATGACTGAGATGGTGGTGGTGTGTTTTGGGATCTTCTTTGGAATTGCTACACACTATTCCATTTTCTGACCCTCTTTATTCAGTTTCTGACCTTCCTTGCCTTTCTTTGGCCTTCTCTGAACTGGACTTCAGTAAGTCTTTTGACACTATCCCCCATAACAGCCTCATAAACAGGTTGTTGATGCTGTGGGATGGATGGGCGGACTGTGAGGCTGGCTGAGTGGGAGGGCTGGGCAGCTGACCTCCACAGCTAAGCCGTTCTCTGGCTTAGTGATTCACTGTCAGCTTTAGGCAGTGCTTAGCTGTGTGCCTGCTGCATTATCTTGAGAGGCAAAGTGCACTTGGGTTATGCAGGAGATGGTGGGTTGGCTGCTGTGTTCTTTGTTTTCAGCGGGCCTGTGCTCCCTCTGGGGCGTCAGGATGCTGCTGGAAGAGGTGCTCAGGTTGTTGCAGGAAGGCAGTGTGGATACAGCCTTCCTTGTGTGGTGCTGCGCTGGTCTGAAGTGAGTGAGGATGACAGCTGTGAGTGGTGTCAGCTCTATAAAGGGTATGGAAGGGGAGTTGATGTCGGCCTCTTTATCCTCCTCTGCCAGAGGGAAATTGCAGATTGACTTCCTTCTTCCCTGCGTGGCAGAGAGGGACATGAGTTCTTCCCTTCCCACTGCATTGGTGAGGCAGAAGAGCCATGGGAGCTTTCAGGAAGCAGGGAGGTGAAGGTGAGCACTGCAGCTGTGAAGGGGAAGAAAAAGGAAAGAATTCACCTACGAGCTGGTGGGTTTATAGCTGGGCACCAGTCACATCACAACATACACAGGGGCACAAGGCTGCTTGTCTGTTGAAGCTGGTATAGGATATGTCCTTTGGGATAACAAGTGGCTACATCTAAGCTCCAGTATCTAGAGCGTGTACTATCAATTAGTATCTATCTTCTGTTCTCATCAGTGTTTATTGCATCGTGTGGTAGTATCTTGAAGTATGCTGCAGTTTCTTGTGTAGTTTATTCTTGAGTTTCTGATCAAACCAGCCCTTGTGCTGAATGAATTAATGCCTATTTGTTTCTTTCTTCAGTGGAAGGGGAAAAGCAGGGTTGTATTGCTGCTGAAACACTACAAGGAAAATGCATTTTTAAGGAGGAATTTTTGAGTGTTTGGAGAGCTGAGGCATAGTTGGGCAAAGCCAGAGTGACTGGAGCTGTATGTTGCTGGAGGGAATGAGGTGTGAAGATGTGTGTAAAATGAAACTGGATACAGGACTGGGCAGTGGAAAAAGTAATGGAATCATGGGAGCAATGGTGGAGAACGTGTTGAATGTGATGGGCAAGACTGGAAACTTTACCTAGTGTCCTTGGCAATGAAGGGACATGGGTCAGTGTGGAGAGTCTGGCAGCAGAGACCCTTGAACCTGGCTTGGCTGCAGAAGGATGTGTTGGGGGGCATTGCAAACCTTGTAGGGGAAGGAGTGCTCATAGGGTTCACTAGGAGCTAGGTTGTGGTCCCTGTAGTTTTCTCATTGTGCTGACAGGGGTTACCAGCATCTCTGGCTCTGGGACTGCACCCCAGAGGCTCTGTCTGGCTACCAGCCCAGT